GTATGATGTGTGAGTGAGTCAGTGTATGATGTGTGAGTGAGTCAGTGTATGTGTGAGTCAGTGTATGATGTGTGAGTGAGTCAGTGCATGATGTGTGAGTGAGTCAGTGTATGATGTGTGAGTGAGTCAGTGTATGATGTGTGAGTGAGTCAGTGTATGTATGAGTGAGTCAGTGTATGATGTGTGAGTGAGTCAGTGTATGATGTGTGAGTGAGTCAGTGTATGATGTGTGAGTGAGTCAGTGTATGATGTGTGAGTCAGTGTATGGTGTGTGAGTGAGTCAGTGTATGATGTGTGAGTGAGTCAGTGTATGATGTGTGAGTGAGTCAGTGTATGATGTGTGAGTGAGTCAGTGTATGATGTGTGAGTGAGTCAGTGTATGATGTGTGAGTCAGTGTATGGTGTGTGAGTGAGTCAGTGTATGATGTGTGAGTGAGTCAGTGTATGATGTGTGAGTGAGTCAGTGTATGATGTGTGAGTGAGTCAGTGTACGATGTGTGAGTGAGTCAGTGTATGATGTGTGAGTGAGTCAGTGTATGATGTGTGAGTGAGTCAGTGTATGATGTGTGAGTGAGTCAGTGTATGATGTGTGAGTGAGTCAGTGTATGATGTGTGAGTGAGTCAGTGTATGATGTGTGAGTGAGTCAGTGTATGATGTGTGAGTGAGTCAGTGTATGATGTGTGAGTGAGTCAGTGTATGATGTGTGAGTGAGTCAGTGTATGATGTGTGAGTGAGTCAGTGTATGATGTGTGAGTGAGTCAGTGTATGATGTGTGAGTGAGTCAGTGTATGATGTGTGAGTGAGTCAGTGTATGATGTGTGAGTGAGTCAGTGTATGGTGTGTGAGTGAGTCAGTGTATGATGTGTGAGTGAGTCAGTGTATGATGTGTGAGTGAGTCAGTGTATGATGTGTGAGTGAGTCAGTGTATGATGTGTGAGTGAGTCAGTGTATGATGTGTGAGTGAGTCAGTGTATGATGTGTGAGTAAGTCAGTGTATGATGTGTGAGTGAGTCAGTGTATGATGTGTGAGTGAGTCAGTGTATGATGTGTGGGTGAGTCAGTGTATGATGTGTGAGTGAGTCAGTGTATGATGTGTGAGTGAGTCAGTGTATGTATGAGTGAGTCAGTGTATGATGTGTGAGTGAGTCAGTGTCGGCTCCCTCTGCTCGCGCCGTCGCCCCCCCCCCCCCCCAACTCCGTCGCCCCCCCCCCCGGCCCCCCCGGCTCCCTCAGCCCCCTCACACATCGTCATCGTCACAAATGTCTGACCCCCCCCCCCCCCACCTAGGTGCGTGACGTCATTTACGGACGGCCCCTTTGGCCGCCCGAGTTCGATTCCCGCTCACGACCAATGGCAGTTGACGGCGAATATTTGAATCGCTGTCACCTGGTGTGGATTTTCGTTGTTAAATTTTAATTTTGTTTTAAACTCGCGTTAAGAGTATTCTGGCTACCGCTTCAAATGTCCACAACGTGGCAAGAAGCCCCTGGCGTTGAGCCACCATTCGTGATGGCCGGGTGGCTTCTGAAAAGCAAAAATAGCTCAGGGGTCGTCCATAAATGACGTCACACACCTTGGGGGTGGGAGGGGGGGTCAGACATTTGTGACGATGTGTGACGAGGAAGGGGGGGGGTGAGAAATGTGACGTCACATCAAAATGCGCAACTTAAAATAAATATAGACAAACACGTTCTACTTCATTAGACTTTTTTAATAAATGTTTTCTCCTACAACATCAGAGTGCAGCGCCACATTAACTACGCACTACAATGACAATAGTTTAAAGCGATTTGAAGCATGTTTTATTTGAGGGGGGGGGGCAGAGCTTTGTGACGTCATATTTGAGGGGGGGGGGGTCTGACTTTTCGTGACGTCGTGTGACGAGGGAGGGGAGGTCAAAAATCGCGTGACGTCACTTATGGACGGCCCCTTAGTGTGGTTTTACCCTGATTAAATATACAATTACAAAAAATGTAAAGTTTAACAGGATTTGGTTATATTTGTGGAGGCAAGAGCCGAGTTCATACTGGCTTACGTTCCTTTTGATTGGGAAGCTTGTGCCAGGCTAGGTGCACTTCGTCTGAACCACCCCGCAACTCCCTAACCCAACGTCACTTCCGCGGACTCGCGAAGTTTAACAATATTTTTTGATTTAAAGCTTTCGTGACTGCAGTAATTCATATTCTTAGTTTTTTCGGTAAAGTCACGTTGAAGAGAAACAACAAAATAACAAAATATATATAAAACAATAAAAAATTCTCACGACGTTTCGACCATAACTCAAACGGTCATCATCAGGTGTGTCGGTTTGCATAAATTTATTTTGAAAACGGCATATTTATTTATATATATATAAATAACGTTTGCGTCACGCGCAACGATGGCAGTTTGCCAGGACTAGTCCATCTATTTTTTGAAAAGAGGAGGGGGGAGACGAAATTTGTTTTTATGTAAGCTGTCTGAAAGGCACTGTAAGCGTGAACAATCAATCAAGAACTGAAATGATTTATCAAATCTTTCCAATGATTGCTAAGATAGAATCCATCTTCTCGGTTGAAATTGTCTCTGTGTTTGTATATGTGGATAGCCTCATGAACGAATCTCTCATGGAAGCCAGATGGCTTACAAAGAACCTCCGTCTTGGAAAAGTCAATGGCATGTGAGCCTACTGAATTAGAACAATGATCTGCTACGGCCGAGGTGTTGGTCCTACCGTGTTTAAGGTCTGCTTTATGTTCACGAATGCGGTCCGAGATATGGCGTTTGGTTTCTCCAATGTAACTACTACCACAGAGGCAACTTAGTTTGTAGACACCAGGGTATTGTATGTCCGGAATCACATCTTTTACAGACGGAACCAGATCACGGATTTTATGTAATGTGTTGAAACGGACCTGGATCTTGTGTTTATTCAAGATTTTGGAGATCTTTTTTGTGATCCCAGCAATGTAGGGTAAAGTGATGGTTTTGAAAGGCTCCTCAAGAGGGTTCTTCTTCATGGTTTGAGTGATAGCTTTGCGGATTGTATAGTCGGAGTAACCATTAGCCCTAAGAGCTTGGTGTACGTGCTTGAGTTCACTGCTTATGTGTTCCTGGTCGGATATGCATTGGGCTCTATGATACAGAGTCTTGATGAGAGAATTCTTCTGTGATGGATGGTGGTGGGAATCCGGTTTCAGATAAGCATCCGTATGGGTAGCTTTCCTGTAGACAGAGTGGCTCATTGAACCATCAGGTCTCTTTTTAATTAGGACATCCAAAAAAGGTATCTTGCCATCTATTTCGACTTCCATGGTAAATCTGATGGCTGGGTGTATGGAATTGATGTGGTCGAAGAATTTGTCTAGAGCAGGCCGGCCATGTGGCCAGATGACAAAAGTGTCATCCACGTACCTCTTCCATAAGGTTGGGCGCAGAGTGGCAGTCTGGATGGCGTCAGTCTCAAATTTCTCCATGAAAATGTTAGCTATAACTGGAGAAAGGGGGGAGCCCATTGGGGTGCCCTCAGTTTGTTTGTAGAAAGTTCCATTCCAAGTGAAGTATGTATTGGTTAAACAGTGTCTCACCAGGGGGGGTACCTCAGTGTTTAGTCCTTGATGAACCAAGTCTTCAATGATTGCAATGGTGTCAGGTACAGGAACCTTGGTGAATAAGGAAACTACATCAAAACTGACAAGCAGGTCGTCTGGGGACAGGCAAATACCCTTGATTGTTGATACCAGGTGAGTAGAATTTTGTACCGCAGAGGTGGTCTTTCCAGTGAAAGGACGCAGGATTTCAGACAAAAAACGAGCTAGTTTGTAGGTGGGGGAGCTGATAGTAGAGACTATGGGACGAAGAGGTGTATCAACTTTATGTATTTTTGGTAAGCCGTATAATCTTGGTGGCCTGGCAGCAGAAGGTTTCAACGAAAACTGTTTAGATTGATCAATTAATGTGGTTGAATCAGAAATTATTTTGTTGGTTTGTGTGACGAGGCTGTTGGTGGGATCTCTTTTTATTTTTGTATAACTACCATCGTCGAGTAATTCTTTAATTTTGTTGTTGTATTGTTGTTATAATATTAACAATATTATTACAATTCTTATTGTTGTTGTTGTTGCCTTAAAATTAACCTCTCCAAACATTTAGCCACAATCCCCGATGTCGCTTCCTAGGTAGCTAATACAACAAACAAAATATAATTTTTTTATAATTTTTTTACGAAGTTACTTTTAAAACTCGTGCGCTCGCGAGGGCCTTGCGTTGCTAGGGGCAACCTCCGTAGACATTGCGCGGCGATCAGCAGAGGGAGTTCGTCTGGTGGGGTGGTGGTGAGGTGGTGGTGGTGTCGTGAGGTGGTGGTGGTGAGGTGGTGGTGGTGAGGTGGTGGTGGTGAGGTGGTGTGGTGAGGTGGTGGTGGTGTGGTGGTGAGGTGGTGGTGGTGGTGAGGTGGTGTGGTGAGGTGGTGTGGTGGTGAGGTGGTGGTGGTGAGGTGGCGTGGTGGTGGTGAGGTGAGGTGGTGGTGAGGTGAGGTGGTGGTGAGGTGGTGGTGAGGTGGAGGTGGTGGTGAGGTGGTGGTGGTGAGGTGGTGAGGTGGTGGTGTGGTGGTGGTGAGGTGGTGGTGAGGTGGTGGTGGTGAGGTGGTAGTGGTGAGGTGATGGTGGTGAGGTGGTGGTAAGGTGGTGGTGAGGTGGTGGTGGTGAGGTAGTGGTGAGGTAGCGTGGTGGTGAGGTGGTGGTGAGGTGGCGTGGTGATGGTGGTGAGGTGGTGGTGAGGTGGTGGTGGTGAGGTGGCGTGGGGGTGGTGGTGTGGCGTAGTGGTGGTGAGGTGGTGGTGGTGGTGAGGTGGCGTGGTGGTGGTGGTGAGGTGGGGGTGGTGGTGAGGTGGTGGTGGTGGCGTGGTGGTGGTGAGGTGGTGGTGGTGGTGAGGTGGCGTAGTGGTGGTGAGGTGGTGGTGGTGAGGTGGTGGTGGTGAGGTGGTGGTGGCGTGGTGGTGGTAAGGTTGGGGTGGTGGTGAGCCGGGCCCCATGGCTCCCAAGGCGGCTCGCAAGGCGAAGAGGGGGGCCCCAAAGACGCAGGGGGGCTCTGTGGAGGCGGGGGGCCCCGGGGGGGAGGCGCGCGGGCGCAGTGCGCGGGAAGACGAGCTGAGGGTGCTGTGAGTCACGTGGTGTGTGTGTGATGTGGTGTGTGTGTGGTGTGTGTCTAGTGTGTGTGGTGTGTGTGATGTGTCTAGTGTGTGGTGTGTGGTGTCTGTGGTGTGTCTGTGTGGTGTGTGTGTGGTGTGTGTGATGTGTCTAGTGTGTGGTGTGTGTGATGTGTCTAGTGCGTGGTGTGCGTCTAGTGTGTGTGGTGTGTGTGTGTGTGATGTGTGTGTGGTGTGTCTAGTGTGATGTGTGTGGTGTGTGTGTGTGGTGTGTGTGTGTGGTGTGTGTGATGTGTGTCTAGTTTGTGTGGTGTGTGTGATGTGTCTAGTGTGTGGTGTGTGTGATGTGTCTAGTGTGCCTAGTGTGTGGTGTGTGTGTGTGGTGTGTGTGTGGTGTGTGTGATGTGTGGTGTCTGTGGTGTGTCTGTGTTGTGTGTGTGTGGTATGTGTGTGATGTGTCTAGTGTGTGGTGTGTGTGATGTGTCTAGTGTGTGGTGTGTGTGTCTAGTGTGTGTGTGGTGTGTGTGTGTGGTGTGTGTGTGGTGTGTGTGTCTAGTGTGTGGTGTGTCTAGTGTGTGGTGTGTCTAGTGTGTGTGTGGTGTGTCTAGTGTGTGTGTGTGGTGTGTCTGTGTGGTGTGTGTGTGGTGTGTGTGATGTATGTGTGTGGTGTGTCTGTGATGTGTGTGGTGTGGGTGTTGTTTGTGTGGTGTGTGTGTGTGGTGTGTCTGGGGTGTGTGGTGTGTGTGATGTGTGTGTGGTTGGTGTGTGTGTGGTGTGTGTGTGTGGTGTCTGTGTGTGGTGTGTGTGTGTGGTGTGTGTGTGGGGTGTGTGTGTGTGGTGTGTGTGTGGTGTGTCTGTGTGGTGTATGTGTGTGTGTGGTGTGTCTGTGATGTGTGTGGTGTGTATGGTGTGTGTGTGATGTGTGGTGTGTGATGTGTGGTTCGTGTGGTGTGTGTATATCTGGTGTGTGTGATGTATCTGGTGTGTGTGTGGTGTGTCTGGTGTGTGTGTGGTGTGTGTGATGTGTGGTGTGTCTGATGTGTTTGTGGTGTGTGTGATGTGTGGTGTGTCTGGGGTGTGTGGTGTGTGTGATGTGTGTGTGTGGTGTGTGTCGTGTGTATGGTGTGTGTGGTGTGTCGTGTGTGTGTCTGGTGTGTGTGTCTGGTGTGTGGTGTGTGTGATGTGTGTCTGGTGTGAGTGGTGTCTGGTATGTGTGGTGTGTCTGGTGTGTGTGGTGTGTCTGGTGTGTGTGGTGTGTCTGATGTGTGTGGTGCGTCTGGTGTGTCTGGTGTGTGTGGTGTGTCTGGTGTGTCAGGTGTGTGTGTGTCAAGGTGTTTGTGTTAGGTCTGTGTCAAGTGTGCGTGTGTTAAATGTGTGTAACGTGTGTTTCAAGTGTGAATCTGCATGTCACCCAGTGCCGGATTGTCCGAGCAGCACAAGTAGCTACAACATGTGTAGTGTAGCAGCTACTACATATGTGTAGTAGTTACTACACATATGTTGTAGCTACGGGCCCCGCACTTTCAAGGGCCCCGCGCTATATGCTTTCAAGCTATCAATTCCAGTGTAGTGATTCTGCACTTGATCTATTACTACAGTACTATACCGCCTTCAACTTTCATGAACGGCTGCCTGTTTAAGATTAGCTGTATAGCAAATAAAAACATTTACGAGTTATAATATTTGTCTGTTTTTATTATTATTTAGGGCCCCTATATAACACCACGTGGCTACAGTCCCCGCACTAACTTCATCCGGCTCTGGTGTCACCATCCCTCTCTCACCCAGGTTGGAATCGCGCACAGCGGAACTCCAGCGACTCCGTGAGCGAGCCTCAACCCTGTATCCTCACTGAGCTCCTCACTGTATCCTCACTGTCTCACTGAGCTCCTCACTTCTCACTGAGCTCCTCACTGTATCCTCACTGTCTCCTCACCGTCTCACTGTGCTCCTCACTTCTCACTGTATCCTCACTGAGCTCCTCACTGTCTCCTCACTGTGCTCCACACTCCTCACTGTCTCCTCACTGAGCCCCTCACTTCTCACTGTATCCTCACTGTATCCTCACTGAGCTCCTCACTGTCTCCTCACTGTATCCTCACTGAGCTCCTCACTTCTCACTGTATCCTCACTGTATCCTCACTGAGCTCCTCACTGTATCCTCACTGTATCCTCACTGTATCCTCACTGAGCTCCTCACTGTATCCTCACTGTCTCACTGAGCTCCTCACTTCTCACTGAGCTCCTCACTGTATCCTCATTGTCTCCTCACCGTCTCACTGTGCTCCTCACTTCTCACTGTATCCTCACTGTATCCTCACTGTCTCCTCACCGTCTCACTGTGCTCCTCACTTCTCACTGTATCCTCACTGAGCTCCTCACTGTCTCCTCACTGTCTCCTCACTGTGCTCCACACTCCTCACTGTCTCCTCACTGAGCTCCTCACTGAGCCCCTCACTTCTCACTGTATCCTCACTGTATCCTCACTGAGCTCCTCACTGTCTCCTCACTGTATCCTCACTGAGCTCCTCACTTCTCACTGTATCCTCACTGTTTCCTCACTGTATCCTCACTGTCTCCTCACTGTATCCTCACTGAGCTCCTCACTGAGCTCCTCACTGAGCTCCTCACTTCTCACTGTATCCTCACTGTATCCTCACTGAGCTCCTCACTGTCTCCTCACTGTATCCTCACTGAGCTCCTCACTGAGCTCCTCACTTCTCACTGTATCCTCACTGTATCCTCACTGAGCTCCTCACTGTCTCCTCACTGTATCCTCACTGAGCTCCTCACTGAGCTCCTCACTTCTCACTGTATCCTCACTGTATCCTCACTGAGCTCCTCACTGTCTCCTCACTGTATCCTCACTGAGCTCCTCACTGAGCTCCTCACTTCTCACTGTATCCTCACTGTATCCTCACTGAGCTCCTCACTGTCTCCTCACTGTATCCTCACTGAGCTCCTCACTGAGCTCCTCACGTCTCACTGTATCCTCACTGTATCCTCACTGTATCCTCACTGAGCTCCTCACTGTCTCCTCACTGTATCCTCACTGAGCTCCTCACTTCTCACTGTATCCTCACTGTATCCTCACTGTATCCTCACTGAGCTCCTCACTGTCTCCTCACTGTATCCTCACTGAGCTCCTCACTGAGCTCCTCACTTCTCACTGTATCCTCACTGTATCCTCACTGAGCTCCTCACTGAGCTCCTCACTTCTCACTGTCTCCTCACTGAGCTCCTCACTGTCTCCTCACTGTATCCTCACTGTATCCTCACTGAGCTCCTCACTGTCTCCTCACTGTATCCTCACTGAGCTCCTCACTTCTCACTGTATCCTCACTGAGCTCCTCACTTCTCACTGTCTCCTCACTGTATCCTCACTGAGCTCCTCACTGTCTCCTCACTGTATCCTCACTGTATCCTCACTGAGCTCCTCACTGTCTCCTCACTGTATCCTCACTGAGCTCCTCACTTCTCACTGTATCCTCACTGTATCCTCACTGAGCTCCTCACTTCTCACTGTATCCTCACTGTATCCTCACTGAGCTCCTCACTTCTCACTGAGCTCCTTACTGTCTCCTCACTGAGCTCCTCACTTCTCACTGAGCTCCTCACTGAGCTCACTTCTCACTGAGCTCCTCACTTCTCACTGAGTTCTCACTGTCTTCTCACTTCTATCTCCTCACTGTCTCCTCACTGAGGTCCTCACTTCTCACTGAGCTCCTCATTTCTCACTGAGCTCCTCACTTCTCACTGAGCTCCTCACTGAGCTCCTCACTTCTCACTGAGCTCCTCACTTCTCACTGAGCTCCTCACTGTCTCCTCACTGTCTCCTCACTGTCTCCTCACTGAGCTCCTCACTTCTCACTGAGCTCCTCACTTCTCACTGAGCTCCTCACTGTTTCCTCACTGTGCTCCTCACTGTCTCCTCACTGAGCTCCTCACTTCTCACTGAGCTCCTCACTGAGCTCCTCACTTCTCACTGAGCTCCTCACTGTCTCCTCACTGTCTCCTCACTGTTTCCTCACTGTCTCCTCACTGAGCTCCTCACTTCTCACTGAGCTCCTCACTGTTTCCTCACTGTGCTCCTCACTGTCTCCTCACTGAGCTCCTCACTTCTCACTGAGCTCCTCACTTCTCACTGAGCTCCTCACTGTTTTTTCACTGTGCTCCTCACTGTCTCCTCACTGTCTCCTCACTGTCTCCTCACTGAGCTCCTCACTACTCCCTGTGTCCTCTCTGACTCTCCGCACATATCTCATTATCCACACAGGTCCTTGTGTCCTCAGCTAGGCCTTCAGGATCTCCTGTTTAGAGGTGCCTCTGCCACTCCCTGAACCTCACCCGACCCACGTGCCCCCCTCCACCACGTGCCCCCCCCCCCCTCCACCACAGCCCCCCCCTCATGTGAACCCGGAATGTCTCTTCCTTGACTCGCTTCCTCCCCCACCACCGCCGCAACTGCAGCCGGGAACAGAACGAGATGCTGCAGGCAGAGGCCCAGCAGACGAGACTCGACAGCGTAAGTGCGCTACTGTGGCTATGAGATGTTAACTACCTCGCCTAGTGTACAGGAGGTTTGTGGGTTCGATCCCCGACCCTGACGCCTGCTGCTGTATATTTGGAGTCTGCGTGTCTCTTTCTCATCATCATCACGGTGGCTTGGAGATGTTAACTACCTCGCCTGGTGTACAGGAAGTTGTGGGTTTGATCCCGACCCTGACGCCTGTTGTATGTTTAGAGTTTGCGTGTCTTTCTCTCTCCGTGGTCGTGTGAATTTTTCTCCGGGTCCTCCGGGTTTTCCCTCCAAATTTAGAATCAACATCACGCGTTTTTGCTGTGAATTTCCACTTGATATGCCACTTCATTGAGCTATCATTTGTGGCCATGTCACTTCTTGAAAAATAGCTGTATAGCTCAGTGGGGCCTTACCTGCTAAAATAAACATTCCTGCGGAGGGAGCTGGTAGGAACGTTGGGTTGCTCGGTCAGTGGCCAGGGTCAACGGCGGCACCACCTCGTGGTGTGTTCAGCACAATATGCCCGACTGTGAGGGCGGGCACAAGCCGGCGTGAGTAGGTTAGACGTTGAGTTTTATAAGGGCACCACGGGGTGACCAGCCCCTCGCCACCCAGCCCCACCCCTCCCCACCTAGCCCCACCCCTACCACTCCCCACCCAGCCCCACCCCTCCCACTCCCCACCCCTCCCACTCCCCACCCAGCCCCACCCCTCCCACTCCCCACCCAGCCCCACCCTCCCCACCCCCCCACCCAGCCCCTCCCCACCCTCCCCACCCAGCCCCACCCTCCCCACCCGGCCCCTCCCCACCCTCCCCTCTCCACCCAGCCCCACCCCTCCCATGTTTGGATGCACGACGGACGGACGGACACAATAATCCCCTGTGGGCTGCTGGTGTAACCAGGAGGTTCCTACCAGTATAAGAAGTTCAGTTTAGTGTGATGATGATGATGGTGGTGGTGGTGGTGCCGTATTTCTTTCGTTTTAACATGGCTGGTGTGAGAGCAACGACTACAATTTCACATTCACGTGGCCAAGCCGGCAGACAAGCGCGTCAGGAGCAGTAGTCGTGTCATCGTCGGCGTGATGTCTCCTTCGTGTTTGTGGATTGGGGTAACGTGTCGTACATTGTCACGGTCCGTTGTGGATGGCCACAGTCGCACCGCTACTACCGGAGAGCTTTCTATCCGGTGCGATTGGACGTGACGGCGATGACGGCGATGACGACGATGACGACGACCATGACTGTGACTATGACGACGACGACGATGATGACGACGATGATGACGACGATGAGGACGACGACGACGATGATGATGATGACGACTACGATGACGACGATGACGACGACGACGATGATGACGACGATGATGATGATGACGATGAGGACGACGACGACGACGATGATGATGACGACGACGATTACGACGTCGACGACGATGATGATGATGATGACGACGACTACGATGACGACGATGACGACGACGACGATGACGATGATGATGAGGACGACGACGATGACGACGACGATGATGATGATGACGACGACGATGACGTCGACGACGATGATGACGACGACTGCGATGACGATGACGACGATGATGACGACGACGATGACGACAACGACGATGACGACGACGACTAGGATGACGACGATGACGACGATGGCGATGTGGACGCGGAGCGGTGCAGCAGGAGTACGCGTCGTTCATGTGGAGACGAGGTGAGAAGAGGAGGGACCTCATCGTGACCCTCACCGAGCAGAACCGCTCGCACCTGGAGGAGCTGGCTCGGCGCGGGGAGGAGGCCCGGGCATCCCTGCGAGCACGGAGAGAGGGTGAGGTCTCCCCACACCGCACTCGCCCACAAACACTGAGATCCCCACTCCCTCACCCCCCCCCGGTATGGCCTTTAACAGCCTGCTGGGGGCGAGTGCTGTGAGCGAGTCATCGTCGTCGTCACGATCATCTTCTTCTCACCTCGTCCTAGTAGGTGCCCACTGCACATTTCATCTTCTGTTTCCGCTTTCCTCTGTCTTGTAGTGCCGAGAGGCTCTAGCAGTCGCCACATCCTTCTGGCACCAGTCTCTTTGATGTCGTTGTCAGCCCGGTCTCCGCGAGCTCCACGTCTCTCTCCGGTTCCTTCAATTTGATTCCCGAACGGCTCCTACCAAGGCCGGCACGGCACACGCAGGGGGTGGGGTGGCCAGCGCCACGCCCGACCGCCTTTGTCTCCCCAGTGGCGATGTTTACTACACACACAGCACCAGGTACTCGTTTGAGGCTGAGTGGACCGAAGGGAGGCCCGGGACCGGTTTAGATAATCGTCACCGGTGTTGGCCGTGAGCGGGAAGCGAACCCGGGCCGCCGAGTTTGCTACGCAGCGCGTTGCTAACCGCTACACCACCGCTCCCCACTCACACACACACACTCACGTAACCACGTACACATACACTTCTACAACGCTGCGGACTGAGGGCTTTAGAAAAAAATCACCTCACCTGTGTGACCCCTCACCTGTGTGACCCCTCACCTGTCACCTCACCTGTGTGACCCTTCACCTGTCACCTCACCTGTGTGACCCTTCACCTGTCACCTCACCTGTGTGACCCCTCACCTGTCACCTCACCTGTGACCCATCACCTGTGTGACCCCTCACCTGTCACCTCACCTGTGTGACCCCTCACCTGTCACCTCACCTGTGTGACCCCTCACCTGTGTGACCCTTCACCTGTCACCTCACCTGTGTGACCCCTCACCTGTCACCTCACCTGTGTGACCCTTCACCTGTCACCTCACCTGTGTGACCCCTCACCTGTCACCTCACCTGTGACCCATCACCTGTGTGACCCCTCACCTGTCACCTCACCTGTGACCCCTCACCTGTGTGGCCCCTCACCTGTCACCTCACCTGTGTGGCCGCTTGCCTGTAGAGTTGACCGCTGTGTTGCTGGAGAAGGAGGCGGAGCTGGCCCAGGTTACGCGTGAGATGGAGAAACTGAATGATGTGCAGGTAAGGCCCAAGGCTGCTCCCGACTCCTGAACACTGACCTATAACCCTGGCTCCTGAACCATAACCCTGATGCCTGAACCATAACCCTGGCTCCTGAACCATAACCCTGGCTCCTGAACCATAACCCTGGCTCCTGAACCATAACCCTGGCTCCTGAACCATAACCCTGGCTCCTGAACCATAACCCTGACTCCTGAACCATAACCCTGACTCCTGAACCATAACCCTGACACCTGAACCATAACCCTGACTCCTGAACCATAACCCTGACTCCTGAACCATAACCCTGGCTCCTGAACCATAACCCTGGCTCCTGACCTATAACCCTGGCTCCTGAACCATAACCCTGGCTCCTCAACCATAACCCTGACACCTGAACCATAACCCTGACTCCTGAACCATAACCCTGGCTCCTGAACCATAACCCTGACTCCTGAACCATAACCCTGGCTCCTGAACCATAACCCTGGCTCCTGAACCATAACCCTGACACCTGAACCATAACCCTGGCTCCTGAACCATAACCCTGGCTCCTGAACCATAACCCTGACTCCTGAACCATAACCCTGACTCCTGAACCATAACCCTGGCTCCTGAACCATAACCCTGACTCCTCAACCATAACCCTGACTCCTGAACCATAACCCTGGCTCCTGAACCATAACCCTGGCTCCTCAACCATAACCCTGACACCTGATCCATAACCCTGACTCCTGAACCATAACCCTGGCTCCTGAACCATAACCCTGACTCCTGAACCATAACCCTGACTCCTGAACCATAACCCTGACTCCTGAACCATAACCCTGACTCCTGAACCATAACCCTGGCTCCTGAACCATAACCCTGACTCCTGAACCATAACCCTGACTCCTGAACCATAACCCTGACACCTGAACCATAACCCTGACTCCTGAACCATAACCCTGGCTCCTGAACCATAACCCTGACTCCTGAACCATAACCCTGACTCCTGAACCATAACCCTGACACCTGAACCATAACCCTGACTCCTGAACCATAACCCTGACTCCTGAACCATAACCCTGACTCCTGAACCATAACCCTGACACCTGAACCATAACCCTGACACCTGAACCATAACCCTGGCTCCTGAACCATAACCCTGGCTCCTGAACCATAACCCTGACTCCTCAGCCATAACCCTGATGCCTGAACCATAACCCTGACTCCTGAACCATAACCCTGACTCCTGAACCATAATCCTGACTCCTGAACCATAACCCTGGCTCCTGAACCATAACCCTGGCTCCTGAACCATAACCCTGGCTCCTGAACCATAACCCTGGCTCCTGAACATAACCCTGATGCCTGAACCATAACCCTGACTCCTGAACCATAACCCTGGCTCCTGAACCATAACCCTGGCTCCTGAACCATAACCCTGGCTCCTGAACCATAACCCTGACTCCTCAGCCATAACCCTGATGCCTGAACCATAACCCTGACTCCTGAACCATAACCCTGACTCCTGAACCATAACCCTGACTCCTGAACCATAACCCTGGCTCCTGAACCATAACCCTGGCTCCTGAACCATAACCCTGATGCTTGAACCATAACCCTGACTCCTGAACCATAACCCTGGCTCCTGAACCATAACCCTGGCTCCTGAACCATAACCCTGGCTCCTGAACCATAACCCTGATACCTGAACCATAACCCTGGCTCCTGAACCATAACCATGATGCCTGAACCATAACGCTGACTCCTGAACCATAACCCTGACTCCTGAACCATAACCCTGATGCCTGAACCATAACCCTGACTCCTGAACCATAACCCTGACTCCTGAACCATAACCCTGACTCCTGAACCATAACCCTGACTCCTGAACCATAACCCTGACACTTGAACCATAACCATGACACCTGAACCATAACCCTGACACCTGAACCATAACCCTGGCTCCTGAACCATAACCCTGGCTCCTGAACCATAACCCTGACTCCTGAACCATAACCTTGACTCCTGAACCATAACCCTGACTCCTGAACCATAACCCTGACTCCTGAATCATAACCCTGGCTCCTGAACCATAACCCTGATGCCTGAACCATAACCCTGACTCCTGAACCATAACCCTGGCTCCTGAACCATAACCCTGACTCCTGAACCATAACCCTGGCTCCTCAACCATAACCCTGGCTCTTGAACCATAACCCTGGCTCCTGAACCATAACCCTGGCTCCTGAACCATAACCCTGGCTCCTGAACCATAACCCTGACTCCTGAACCATAACCCTGACTCCTGAACCATAACCCTGACTCCTGAACCATAATCCTGACTCCTGAACCATAACCCTGGCTCCTGAACCATAACCCTGGCTCCTGAACCATAACCCTGGCTCCTGAACATAACCCTGATGCCTGAACCATAACCCTGACTCCTGAACCATAACCCTGGCTCCTGAACCATAACCCTGGCTCCTGAACCATAACCCTGACTCCTCAGCCATAACCCTGATGACTGAACCATAACCCTGACTCCTGAACCATAACCCTGGCTCCTGAACCATAACCCTGATGCCTGAACCATAACCCTGACTCCTGAACCATAACCCTGGCTCCTGAACCATAACCCTGGCTCCTGAACCATAACCCTGAGACCTGAACCATAACCCTGGCTCCTGAACCATAACCCTGATGCTTGAACCATAACCCTGACTCCTGAACCATAACCCTGGCTCCTGAACCATAACCCTGGCTCCTGAACCATAACCCTGGCTCCTGAACCATAACCCTGATGCCTGAACCATAACCCTGGCTCCTGAACCATAACCCTGACTCCTGAACCATAACCCTGACACTTGAACCATAACCATGACACCTGAACCATAACCCTGACACCTGAACCATAACCCTGGCTCCTGAACCATAACCCTGGCTCCTGAACCATAACCCTGACTCCTGAACCATAACCTTGACTCCTGAACCATAACCCTGACTCCTGAACCATAACCCTGACTCCTGAACCATAACCCTGACTCCTGAATCATAACCCTGGCTCCTGAACCATAACCCTGATGCCTGAACCATAACCCTGACTCCTGAACCATAACCCTGGCTCCTGAACCATAACCCTGACTCCTGAACCATAACCCTGGCTCCTCAACCATAACCCTGGCTCTTGAACCATAACCCTGGCTCCTGAACCATAACCCTGGCTCCTGAACCATAACCCTGGCTCCTGAACCATAACCCTGACTCCTGAACCGTGACGGTGTGCGTGGTGTGTGCGTGGTGTGTGTGTGGTGTGTGCGTGGTGTGTGTGTGGTGTGTGTGTGGCGGTGTGCGTGGTAGTGTGCGTGGCGGTGTGCATGGTGTGTGCGTGGTGTGTGCGTGGTGTGTGTGGTGTGTGCGTGGTGTGTGTGTGGTGTGCGTGGTGTGTGTGTGGTGTGTGCGTGGTGTGTGTGGTTTGTGTGTGGTGTGTGTGTGGAGGTGTGCGTGGTAGTGTGTGTGGTGGTGTGCGTTGTGCGTGCGTGGTGCGTGTGTGGTGGTGTGCGTGGTGGTGTGCGTGGTGTGTGCGTGGTGGTGTGCATGGCGGTGTGCGTTGTGCGTGCGTGGTGTGTGTGTGGCGGTGTGCGTGGTGTGTGTGTGGTGTGCGTGCGTGGTGTGTGTGTGGCGGTGTGCGTGGTGTGTGTGTGGTGTGTGCGTGGTGGTGTGCGTTGTGCGTGCGTGGTGCGTGTGTGGTGGTGTGCGTGGTGTGTGCCTGGTGTGTGCGTGGTGTGTGCGTGGTGTGTGCGTGGCGGTGTGCGTGGTGGTGTGCGTGGCGGTGTGCGTGGTGGTGTGCGTTGTGCGTGTGTGGTGTGTGTGTGGTGGTGTGCGTGGTGGAGTGCGTGGTGTGTGCGTGGTGTGTGACGGTGTGCGTGGCGGTGTGCGTGGCGGTGTGCGTGGGGTGTGACGGGGTACGTGGCGGTGTGCGTGGTGTGTGCGTGGTGTGTGATGGTGTGTGATGGTGTGCGTGGTGTGCGTGGTGTGTGCGTGGTGGTGTGCGTGGTGGTGTGCGTGGTGGTGTGTTTGTGGTGTGTGCGTGGTGGTGTGTGGTGGTGTGGGACGGTGTGTGCGTGGTGTGTGCGTGGTGTGTGCGTGGTGTGTGATGGTGTGTGATGGTGTGCGTGGTGTGCGTGGTGTGTGCGTGGTGGTGTGCGTGGTGGTGTGTTTGTGGTGTGTGCGTGGTGGTGTGTGGTGGTGTGGGATGGTGTGTGCGTGGTGTGTGTGTGGTGTGTGCGTGGTGTGTGATGGTGTGCATGGCGGTGTGCGTGGTGTGCGTGGTGGTGTGCGTGGTGGTGTGCGTGGTGTGTGACGGTGTGCGTGGCGGTGTGCGTGGCGGTGTGCATGGTGTGTGATGGTGTGCGTGGTGTGTGCGTGGTGGTGTGTGACGGTGTGTGTGACGGTGTGTGTGACGGTGTGTGCGGTGCGTGCAGGCGCTGCGCCAGCAGGAGGAGGCGGCCGAGCGCCAGCAGGAGGAGGCGCTGCGGCTGGCGCTCCGTGAGCGTCAGCGGCGCGCGGCCGCCCACGCGGAGCAGCGGGAGCGGCGTGCTGAGGAGCACGCAGAGCACGCAGCCTCACGGGCCTCCAGCCTCGAGCGGCAGGCCCACGCGGTGAGGTACCCCCCTCTCCTACCTCCTCTACCACCTCCTCTACCTCCTCTACCTCCTCATCCTCTACCACCTCCTCTACCTCCTCCTCTACCTCCTCATCCTCTACCACCTCCTCTACCTCCTCCTCTACCTCCTCCCCTATCTCCTCTACCTCCTCCTCTACCTCCTCTATCTCCTCCTCTACCACCTCCTCCCCTACCTCCTCCTCTACCTCCTCCTCCCCTACCTCCTCTACCACCTCCTCTACCACCTCCTCCTCTACCTCCTGCTCTACCTCGAGCTCAGTGGCTCTTCTTCACCTGTGGTGCACGCTGTGAGATGCCCTGGGGTGGGGGTACGTGACACAGCCAGATTGTTCTAGAAGGTAAATCAACGAAAACACAAATTAAGGATGGGTGCGTTGAGTTACAACTTACTTTGATTTGATCAAACCCTCTGTGTGTAACAACATTGTAAATTGATCAAACCCTCTGTGTGTAACAACATTGTACATTGATCAAACCCTCTGTGTGTAACAACATTGTACATTGATCAAACCCTCTGTGTGTAACAACATTGTAAATTGATCAAACCCTCTGTGTGTAACAACATTGTACATTGATCAAACCCTCTGTGTGTAACAACATTGTAAATTGATCAAACCCTCTGTATGTAACAACATTGTAAATTGATCAAACCCTCTGTGTGTAACAACATTGTACATTGATCAAACCCTCTGTGTGTAACAAAATTGTACATTGATCAAACCCTCTGTGTGTAACAACATTGTAAATTGATCAAACCCTCTGTGTGTAACAACATTGTAAATTGATCAAACCCTCTGTGTGTAACAACATTGTAAATTGATCAAACCCTCTGTGTGTAACAACGTTGTAGATTGATCAAACCCTCTGTGTGTAACAACATTGTACATTGATCAAACCTTCTGTGTGTAACATTGTAAATTGATCAAACCCTCTGTGTGTAACAACATTGTACATTGATCAAACCCTCTATGTGTAACAACATTGTAGATTGATCAAACCCTCTGTGTGTAACAACATTGTAAATTGATCAAACCCTCTGTGTGTAACAACATTGTAAATTGATCAAACCCTCTGTGTGTAACAACATTGTAAATTGATCAAACCCTCTGTGTGTAACAACATTGTACATTGATCAAACCCTCTATGTGTAACAACATTGTAGATTGATCAAACCCTCTGTGTGTAACAACATTGTAAATTGATCAAACCCTCTGTGTGTAACAACATTGTACATTGATCAAACCCTCTGTGTGTAACAACATTGTAAAGGTTAAGAACCACTGCTCTAGCTCCTCTCCTCCTCCTGCTCACACGGTGAGCTATACTCCTCCACCACAAAGGTTGAGAACCACAGCCTCATGACCCTGTCCATGGTGGCTAGGAGATGTTAGCTACCTCGCCTGGTGTACAGGAGGTCGTGGGTTCCATCCCGACCCTGACGCCTGCTGCTGTGTATGTGGAGTCTGCGTGTCTCTCTCTCATCATCATCACGGTGGCTAGGAGATGTTAACTACCTCGCCTGGTGTACAGGAGGTCGTGGGTTCCATCCCGACCCTGACGTCTGCTGTATATTTGGAGTCTGCGTGTCTCTCTCTCTCATCATTATCACGGTGGCTATGAGATGTTAACTACCTCGCCTGGTCTACAGGAGGTCGTGGGTTCCATCCCAATCCTGATGTCTGCTGTGTATTTGGAGTCTGCGTGTCTCTGTCTCCCAGTGGCCGCGTGGATTTTCTCTCCACATTTACAAACGTGCGCTGAGAGTATGTGGCCGCTATAAATGTCCACGTGATGATGATAAGCCATTTTGTTGAGCTCTCATTGGTGTTGGCCAGGTCGCTTCTGAAAAAGAGCTACGTACAGTGAGGGAAAAAAGTATTTGATCCCCTGCTGATTTTGTACGTTTGCCCACTGACAAAGAAATGATCAGTCTATAATTTTAATGGTAGGTTTATTTGAACAGTGAGAGACAGAATAACAACAACAAAATCCAGAAAAACGCATGTCAAAAATGTTATAAATTGATTTGCATTTTAATGAGGTAAATAAGTATTTGACCCCTCTGAAAAACATGACAGTACTTGGTGGCAAAATCCTTGTTGGCAATCACAGAGGTCAGACGTTTCTTGTAGTTGGCCACCAGGTTTGCACACATCTCAGGAGGGATTTTCCCACTCCTCTTTGCAGATCTTCTCCAAGCCATTAAGGTTTCGAGGCTGACGTTTCGCAACTCGAACCTTCAGCTCCCTCCACAGATTTTCTATGGGATTAAGGTCTGGAGACTGGCTAGGCCACTCCAAGACCTTAATGTGCTTCTTCTTGAGCCACTCCTTTGTTGCCTTGGCCGTGTATTTTGGGTCATTGTCATGCTGGAATACCCATCCACGACCCATTTTGAATGCCCTGGCTGAGGGAAGGAAGTTCTCACCCAAGATTTGACGGTACATGGCTCCGTCCATCGTCCCTTTGATGCGGTGAAGTTGTCCTGTCCCCTTAGCAGAAAAACACCCCCAAAGCATAATGTTTCCACCTCCATGTTTGACGGTGGGGATGGTGTTCTTGGGGTCATAGGCAGCATTCCTCCTCCTCCAAACACAGCGAGTTGAGTTGATGCCAAAGAGCTCCATTTTGGTCTCATCTGACCACAACACTTTCACCCAGTTGTCCTCTGAATCATTAAGATGTTCATTGGCAAACTTCATACGGGCATGTATATGTGCTTTCTTGAGCAGGGGGACCTTGCGGGCACTGCAGGATTTCAGTCCTTCACGGCGTAGTGTGTTACCAATTGTTTTTTGGCGACTATGGTCCCAGCTGCCTTGATATCATTGACAATATCCTCCCGTGTAGTTCTGCGCTGATTCCTCACTGTTCTCATGATCATTGCAACTCCACGAGGTGAGATCTTGCATGGAGCCCCAGGCCGAGGCAGATTGACAGTTCTTTTGTGCATCTTCCATTTGCAAATAATCGCACCAACTGTTGTCACCTTCTCACCAAGCTGCTTGGCAATGGTCTTGTAGCCCATTCCAGCCTTGTGTAGGTCTACAATCTTGTCCCTAACATCCTTGGAGAGCTCTTTGGTCTTGGCCATGGTGGAGAGTTTAGAATCTGATTGATTGATTGCTTCTGTGGACAGGTGTCTTTTATACAGGTAACGAGCTGAGATTAGGAGCACACTCTTAAAGGGAGTGCTCCTAATCTCAGCTTGTAACCCTCATCATTGTCAATCCACTGCTGGGAGCCAGAAATCTTTCTGATTGAGAGGGGGTCAAATACTTATTTCCCTCATTAAAATGCAAATCAATTTATAACATTTTTGACATGCGTTTTTCTGGATTGTTTTGTTGTTATTCTGTCTCTCACTGTTCAAATAAACCTACCATTAAAATTATAGACTGATCATTTCTTTGTCAGTGGGCAAACGTACAAAGTCAGCAGGGAATCACATACTTTTTTCCCTCACTGTAGCTCAGTCGGGCCTTACCCTGGTCAAATAAAAAATAGAGCCGTTACTGCCGAGGTTCTGAGTTTTAATTCGAGTTTCATTCTCGTAACCCTCATCATTGTCAATCCACTGCTGGGTGAAGGCCTCCCCATGTCCCACCCGCGCCACCACTCACGATCCCGCGGCGTTATAATAATAATAACACGTAGTGCACCAGCTGATCCCATCGCTCCATCTCCCCCCCCCCCCCCCCCCCCGTGCACGTCCTCTCGAACGCATTCCATTCCTCGGCCGCCACTCCGTCATTACTTTTGCCCATCGGCGATCAACCCATCGAGCCACGATGTTTGAGTCTCGTTCTTTGAACCCCCCCCCCACGCCGTCCCACCACGCTCGCCTCTCACGACCCCATGCCCCCACCCCCCCCCCCCCATTAGGCCGCGCGTCGCTGCGCGGAGGAGCTGGCCGCGCGCGCGCGCCAGGAGAACGTGCGGATGCGTGCCGAGCTGCGGGCCCTCGGCCAGGAAGCGCGGGCCCTCGGGGCCCAGGAGAGGGCCCTCAGGGCTCGCAGGGACGCGCTGCGCGCCGAGCTCTCCCCGCCCCGGGGGCCACCGCGCCGCCGCCCCCTCCCGCCGCCGCCGCCGCCGCCGCCGCCGCCGCCGCCGGGCCTCTCCCCCCTCCCCCCTCCGTCTCCCTCCACGCTGCCGCTGTGACGGTGATGGGCCAGCGGCGCAGCCGATTGCTGTACTTGCCACAACGCGGTTGCCGCTTTTATCCGCCTCCCGGGGATGATGGGCCGAGTCGACCCCTGGCAGGGGTTGCGACCGAGCGGCGTTCTGCCTGGCGAGTGAGAGCGATCCGACTGCACCGACCCGGCAAGGAGATTGTACGAGGAATGTAACGGTAACCAGTGGTCAAGTGGAGCGATTGGCAAGGACCCAGGTTCAAGTTATGGATGTGGATTTATTATTTGACTTTGGGCCTCTATGTGAGTCCATGGATCCCGATGTTGAGTATGTGGATCTCTGCCCGAGTCTATGGATCTCTAACTCTTCGGGCCTCTGTGAGGCTTTGAGTATCCATGCGAGCCCATGAGCCTCCATCTGAGGCTACAAGTCCATGGATCTCTGTTTGAGTCTATGAGTCTCTATGTGAGTCCATGGGGAGTCTGTGGGTCTCTACGTGAGTCCATGGGTAGTCTATGAGTCTATGGGTCACTATGTGAGTCCTGAGGGTGTCGCATTCATTGGCATGGGCCCCAGTGTAAGGAATTAAATGCCCTCCCCTCCCCCCCCTCTTCGTGACCCACCCCCCCCCCCCCCCCCCCTAGGCCCCTCTGGTCCGTGGGCCCCAGTGCAGTTGCACCGCCTGCACACTCCTCGATAGTTGTGTTGTCCAACAACAGGAGTGAAGGCTTTTACCCTGAATAATAAGAGGCCTTAAGATGTCCAAACACCAAATAATATCTCACGGCCAGCTGGTGAATTCCCATTTGTGATGTGCATGTGTAGTGTCTGGTAGTGGGGGAGCGGTAGTGTAGTTGTTAACGCTACGAACCCGGCAGAGGCCCGAGTTCGATTTCCGCTCACGGCCGCCACCACCACGAACACCACGGACGAATATCTGAACCGGCTCCTGGGCCCTCCTCTAGGTCGACTAAGCCTCAAATGAGTACTTTGTGCAGTGTGTGTAACCGACGCCACTGGGGAGTCAAAGGCAGCCAGCCGTGGTGTTGCTGGCCACCCACCCACTCACCTCATGTATAGGTGCTCACGAACAGCACTTGCCCCAGCAGCCCAGTAAAGGCTATCCAGGGATTCTTTGTCTTTTTGTTATAGTGTCTTGCACAATAATATTATCATTCGAATTTTAAATGTTGATTGGCAATTTCAGTAAAACGATCCTGTATATGTACAACTGCTTTTTAAACGCGTGAGCCACAGAGTCAGTGGGGCAGTGTTCAACCTATCAACACGATTCAGATTTGTGGAGGGAGCCGCATTGTCTGGGTGCCACAGTGGCTAGGAGATGTTAATTTCCTCACCTGGTATACAGGAGGTCGTGGGTTCGATCCCGACCTCGAAGATGCCTGTATATTAGGAATTTGCTTGTTCTCTCCCCGTGGTCGTGTGGAGTTTGCTCCAGCTCCTCCGTTTCATGATAAGACACGTCATTGAGCTATCATTTGTGGCCAGGTCACTTCTCAAAAAGAGCTACATAGCTCAGCGGGCCTTACCTGGTAAAATTATTTTATATAATCTGATCATGCTCGTTTTTAATTACCGGCGAAACATCGTACCCAGATTGTAAATGTTGTGGATTTGCTCTCCCAACACAAAACCGGTGTGCTGTAGTCGTAGCGAATTGGCATGTTCTGTTTACGTGACAAACCTTACTAATTGGCTGTCAGGTGGTGACGGGTTTAACAGTGCATTTATATTTATGTGATCTAACCCAAGAAAAACTATATTAAAAGATATTGGTCGCGAAAGCCTACGTGTGAAACTAAGGTGCGCTGTTCATTCGTTTCTCAATCTGCTTGTCCTGGTGAGGGTAGTGGCGGCAGCATGTTGAGTAGGGCAGTCCAGACATCCCTTTCCCTGTCGACAGACTCCAGGCCGAGGGAGATTGACAGTTCTTTTGTGTTTCTTCCATTTTCGAATAATCGCACCAACTGTTGTCACCTTCTCACCAGGCTGCTTGCCAATGGTCTTGTAACCCATTCCAGCCTTCTGTAGGTCTACAATCTTGTGAATGACATCCTTGGAGAGCTCTTTGGTCTTGGCCATGGTGGAGAGTTTGGAATCTGATTGATTGCTTCTGTGGACAGGTGTCTTTTATACAGGTAACAAGCTGAGATTAGGAGCACTCCCTTTAAGAGTGTGCTCCTAATCTCAGCTCGTTACCTGTATCAAAGACACCTGGGAGCCAGAAATCTTTTTGATTGAGATGGGGTCAAATACTTATTTCCCTCATTAAAACGCAAATCAATTTACAACATTTTTGACATGCGTTTCTCTGGATTTTTTTGTTGTTATTCTGTCTCTCACTGTTCAAATAAACCTACCATTAAAATTATAGACTGATCATTTCTTTTTTTTCAGTGTGCAAACGTACAAAGTCAGCAGGGGATCAAATACTTTTTTTCCCTCACTGTAGGTGAGGTTGGGAATGTAGCTCGACCTGTAAACGGAGAGCTTTGTTCGAGAACTCAGCTTCTGCTTCACTGCCACGAAACAGCACAGCGCCCGCATCACTCCAGCCGCCGCACCGCTCCACCAGCCGATCTCTCGCTCCCACTTACCATCACTCGCGAAAGAGACCCTGAGGTACTTAAACTCCTCCACTGAGGGCAGCTGTCCCCCCCCTCACCTGGAGAGCACATGCAACCATCTCCCGGTAGTGAACCGTGACCTCAGATTTGGAGGTGCTGATCCTCATCCCAGCCGCTTCGCACTCGGCATCAAACCGTTCAAGTGCACGCTGGAGATCGCAGACTGACGAGGCAAAGAGGACAACGTCGTCTGCAAAAAGTGGCAACGCGACCTCCATGCCCCCTGTACTGGATACTCTCAATACCACGGCTGCGCCTTGATATCCTGTCCATGAAAATCACTAACAGGAGTGGCGACAAGACACCCACGGTGAAACAATTTGATGCAACGCCAAGAATATGGACACAGCTCTCGCTCTCGGAATAGAGGGACCGGATAGCAAATAAACGTGGCACCGGCACATCAAACTCCCACAGCACCTCCCACAAGACATTCCGGGGAACATGGTCGTATGCCTTCTCCAAGCCTAAGGCGCTCTGTATAGACATGAAATAAGACGAGAGAAGACGCGCACCGGATGTGGTGTGGCACGCGGGGGCCACTGGGGACAGCTGCCCTCCTTTCACACAGACAGCTCCAGCGTAACGCCACTCTCTTCCCCACGGGTCGGCCGAGTTTGGGAGAGGGGGGCGGCCGTCGGTCCCCAAGGCCGGGGGGCATCCTGCGGGCCCCCGGCTCCTCCTCCTCCTCCTCCTCCGGGCGGGGTCGCCATCGCCGGCACCGTCGCTGGAGGCATTCGGATCCGGGAGCCGTGGGAGTCTCGCTCCGGGTCCTCAGCCTCGCGCCAGCGTCGGCAGCGACAGCAGCAGGAGCGCCGCAGGGCTCCGGCCACGCACAGCCGCGAGCGGAGGTTCCCATAGAGCCAGGGGTTAGCGGCGGCCCCGACCAGGCAGGCGGCGAGGGCCCACACGAAGGCCGTGGACGTGAGCGTAAGCCCCTCGCTCCTCTCGTCTCCCCGGGGGCCGCCGCCGCCGCCGCCGCCGTCGTCCCCGCGCGGCCCCGCGGCCACGTCGGCCTCCGCCACCCACATGACGGCGAAGAGCGGCCCCCACGACAGGCAGAGGGCCAGCAGGAGCACGCAGAGCGTGACGCGGAGGCGGCGTTCGCGGGGAGGCACAGGGGTCCGCCGAGGGCCCCCCGTCTCGCTCCGCCGCCACCGCTGACGGCGATGATGACGATCGCCGCGTGCCGTAGGATTCCCAGCGAAGGCCCTCGTTATGGCCGCCACCGCGAACCCCGGCGGAGAGCCGGGGAGCGGCCCTGGTTCGGGGTCCTCGGTGTCTCGGGGGGCCCCCGAAACTCCCTCCGGGGTGTGGGCGGTGGAGGGGGCCCCGGGGGGCCGATGGAGGCGTGCGCGGTTTGATCTTAAAACCTGGAGGGGGGTCAGAGGGTGGTGTTCAGGGGGGTCAGAGGGCGGTGTTCAGGAGGGTCCTGCTGTGTCATCCCTTCTGGACGTCTGTGAAAAAGAGCTTCATGACTCATTGGATTTCTCCTTGAAAAAAATATAAAGATTCTGATTCCGAGTGATATGCAGGTAATTTTACAGCAATGATGTAGTTTGGCCAGTGCTAGTTCCACTGTGTGTGTGGGTTTAGCTATGGGAGGGATTCAGAGAACCCGGAGGAAACCCATTGCTGAACAAGGTGGAGGGAGATAACTTACAGACTAAACTCGCACGAAGACACAGATCGCCTGTGTAGCCTTTAACAGTCTTGTGTTATTTTATTTTATCAATTTATTATTTTATTATCATTCTACGTGACTTTACCAAAAGAACCAAACAAGATGAATCATTGCAGTCACGAAAGCTTTAAATCGAAATTTAACAGTCTGTTAGTCATGGTTAGTGGAGGGTTCCTTATAAATAAATTATTATTATTATTAACGGGCACCTATGAAGGCCCAGTCTCACACACTCGTACCAAAGCAGGGGGAGAGAACGTATACACTCAACACACAACCGCAACCCCGAGTCGGGAATCGAACCCAGGTCCTCCTTGCCGTGAGGTAGAACGAATGCCTGCAGTGTTAAACGTTTGCCAAGGCAATTGAAAGGCAAATACAGGAGTGGAGGAGGAGTTACTCCGAGTTAGCAATGGTTTTGTTGATGTCGTTGGTGATACTGCATTGTGATTCATAATAGAAGTTTTTTTTTCGGGTTAGATCACGTAAATGTATAAATGCGTCGGTAAAACCCGCCACCACCCGACACAGCCAACTATTAAGGGTTGTCACGTAAACAGAACATGTCAATTCGTCACTCGTACAGCACTAGTGTGTAGTGTATAGTGTAGTATACTAATACAGCGCACCGGTGCGTTGGAGAGCCAAGCCACAACATTTACAATCTGAGTGGTGGCGTTTAAAAAATATATATTTATGCGATCTAACCCAAAAACACCTCTCTCGTGGATGATATTGCGAAAGCCTACCACGTGCTCAACTGTATTGTGATTTTTGATTTAAAGCTTTCGTGACTGCAGGGATTCATATTCTTGGTTCTTTCGGTAAAGTCACCAAGTAGAAGGGAAACAATAAAATAATAAAAATATAAAACAATAAAATTCTCACGACGTTTCGACTGCAACACAAGCAATCATCGTCAGGTGTGAAAACCACAGCAAGAAAGTTCAAATTTTCTTGCTGTGGTTTTCACACCTGATGATGATTGCTTGTGTTGCAATCGAAGCGTCGTGAGAATTTTTTATTGTTTTATATTTGTGTTATTTTATTGTTTCCCTTCTACGTGGTGACTTTACCGAAAGAACCAAGAATATGTATTGTGATTGTTCATGATGGTATCATCGTCATTGCGATGCATGGGTGTTTGAACATCTAAACGCCTCCCGTTTGATTGCCAGAAAGGGTAAAAAACGCGAATTGGTATCTCAAGTAGTGCACCACAATCTTTCTGGCACCGATCTCTGATGATGTCGTCGTTGTCAGGCTATTCTCTGTTCGGTCTTCCTCCCGTTTCTGTTCCTTCCACTCTTCCGAACAACAACAACAACAATAAATACATTCTCTTTGGTTCTATTCGGTAAAGTGACTTTACCGAATAGAACCAAAGAGTATGAATCCTTGCAGTCACGAAAGCTTCAAATCTAGAATTAACAAATACATTGTTTTTTTCTGTTGTTGTTGTCCGCCCCTACACACGTGTCCAAGCAGTGGCAGTTTCCTTCCCATCGTAGCCTGCATCGACATCAGGACGGCTTTCTTCTCGTCTGTGGTGTGACGTCTTTCTCGCTTCTACGTCGGTCACTCTTTGGGTCCAGCTTAGATGCGGTATCCTTCTGTGGCGATGTATTTCGAGTGCCAATATCCTATCTCTGTCAGTCTTTTTTTCGTGTATAGTTGATATAATTATAATATTGGTGGGTGATGATGGTGTCGACGTTGATAATGTTGGTGGTGGTGTAGATGTTTGTTGGTGGCGATGATGTTGGTGTAAATGGCGTTGTTGATGGTGATGATGATGGAGATGTCGTTGTTGTAGATGACGATGATGTTGGTGTATATGTTGATGATGGTGTAGATGATGTTGATGGTGTAGATGGCAAAGATGTTGGTGTAGATGTTGATGGTGTAGATGTTGTTAATGGTGTAGATGTTGATGGTGATCATCTTGGTGTAGATGTAAAATATGATGTTGTAGATGACGATGTTGGTGTAGATGTTGTTGATGGTGTAGATGGTAATGATGTTGGTTTAGATGTTGTTGATGTTGTTGATTGTGTAGATGATGATGATGTTGGTGTAGATGTTGATGATGATGTTGGTGTAGATGTTGTTGATGGTGTAGATGTTGATGCTGTAGATGGGTATGATGTTGGTATAAATGTTGTTGATTTTGTTGATGATGTAGATGATGATGATGTTGGTATAAATGTTGTTGATTTTGTTGATGATGTAGATGATGATGATGTTGGTGTAGATGTTGTTGATGTTGTTGATGGTGTATATGTTGTTGATGGTGTAGATGTTGTTGATGGTGTAGATGTTGTTGATGATGTAGATGTTGATGCTGTAGATGGCGATGATGTTGGTGGAGATGTTGATGGCGATGATGTTGTTGATGGCATCACCTGTATGATGCGGGCGTGGCTCGCTGTCATTACCATCGCTGGCAGCAACAACAGCATCACGAACATGGAGGAGACCCAGCTCAGTGAGCCGCCACGGCCCGGCCACACCAAGGTGCACACCACCACCTCCTGGAACACCACACACACCACCACACCATCACTCACACCACACCAGGGCGCACACCATCCCCTCTTGAAACACCACACACCACACACCAACCCAACCCAACACTCACACCACTCCAGGGTGCACACCACCACCTCCTGAAACACCACACACACCACCACACCATCACTCACACCACACCAGGGCGCACACCACCGCCTCCTGAAACACCACACACACCACCACACAATCACTCACACCACACCAGGGCGCACACTATCCCCTCTTGAAACACCACACACCACACACCAACCCAACCCATCACTCACACCACACCAGGGCGCACACCACCACCAATACTAACAGCTGCCATTCGCCACTAAGTGACGGTGACGTCACCACGGCGTCTGTGCCAGGCTAGGTGCACTTTGAGGCCACGTGAAGTGTCGAAGGTTCACTGCCAGGAGGTCACGGGACAGACCCAGGTGTCATGGGTCGGCTGACTGAAATAACTGGTAGATGCACCAGCTGTACCTCCTACTGTGCCAACTTGCTGTATTTTAACCAACCGGCACTCCGCTCGTTGTTGTGAGCATCGCTCCTCTGCCCTCCGTTGTTGCGAGAAAGCGACTGCCTCCAACTGACCAGTAGCAGCGTCCTTCACGAGCATCCTCCATAGAGGTCGATCTTGACACCGCTGGTACCAGTCATCGGCAAGTCCACTCAGCTCCACATCCTCCCAAACCGCATCAGCTCCATCTCTCTCCAGCCCGTGCTGTGCCCATTTAGCCCCCTCTATGAGGCCAAACATAAGCTGCTCGGGCATACGGTGGCTGGGCATGCGGGCTACATTACCCAGCCAATGCAACCTTGCCTGCCGGAGCTCACTGATGGCAATGTGTCCAAATATTTCAAGTATTTGTGAGCTCCTCACACAATCCAGCCTGGTTAAACCCAGGATGGATCGTAGGCAGGCCAGGCTGAATGTTTCTAACCGGCGCATATATTCCATTAGGGGGGGTCCACGTTTCACAAGCATAGAGAAGGGAGGGCATGACCGTGGCCGAGAAGACCCGAAGCTTCGTGCAGAGCGACAGACCAGGTAGCTTCCACACAGCGTTACGCAGACGATGAAAAGATATTGCCGCTCGACTGATTCAGAGTGAGACCTCTGCTGCCAAACCGGAGTTGGTCATAAGCACGCTGCCCAGGTGTGGGAAACTCTCCACTCTCTCCACAACTGCTCCATCACCAATGGGGAGCTGATGGGGTGGAGTGTCCGATGGTACAAAATACCCAGGCAGGTGCTTAGTTTGGTGGGGCTGATGGTAAGAACCCACCTCAGTGGCAAGCTCCAGGTTCAGCAGAAGTGTCTCCAACTCCTCCTCCGAGTTAGTAGCAATTGCCAGATCATCAGCATACATAATATGGTTGACCAATAGGAAACCATCCCTCGACCGCACCCGGGCATCGATCAGCCTCCCATTGTATCTGTACCCGATGGAAATCCCTCTGGTACAGCTATGGAAAGCTTCTCGAACTACGTGGTCAAAATAGATGTTAAATAATGTGGGAGCCAGAGAACATCCCCGTTGCACCCCAAGGTGTACAGGGAATGTATCCGACTCCTGGCCACGTAGCTTTACCCGGGCCTGCCCACCATCATGAAGGCCCTTCAAGATTGTGAGCAAAGAGTCAGGGACTCTGAAAAGCACAAAGAATTGCCCACAGCCCTGGCCTGTTTATGGTGTCATAGGCATTGACCAGGTGAATAAAGCAGAGATGTAGGTCTTTGTTGGAATTCCGTATACTTCTGCTGTAGCAGACGGACAGAGAATGTGGCATCCGTGCTGGACCGCCCTTAGTCTGAAACATTGGGGCTCCGCAAGCCTCTCCTCAGCGTGCCTGGCAAGGTGATGTTGAATAATCCTTTCCGGGACCTTTCCCGGCACACCGAGAAGAGAGATGCCCTCTATAGTTGTTACAATCTGTGCTGTCCCGCCTCCTAGCCCGGGGGGACCACCAGGGCATCCTTCCAATCCTGCGGAACCCGTCCAGTGGTCCAGACACAGTTGTGATGATGTCATGTAGGGCAGTCTGCGCACAGATGCCACCCTCCCTCAGCATTGCGCTTGGGAGATCGTCTCTGCCCGGAACTTTTCCTGGTCTCAGACTTCGGCTCACCCCTCGCGTTTCCTCCACAGATGGCACCTCGGCCAACCATTCAGATGGGTGGCTACTTCTGCCAATATTTGAGGCGCTTCAGCCCAAGCAGGGTCGTCCCCACCTTACCCCACCAAACCATCACTGACACCACCACCACCACCTCCTGTAGCACCACCACATGACCACACCAGGGTGGACACCGCCACACCATCACTCACACCACACCAGGGTGCACACCGCCACACCATCACTCACACCACACCAGGGTGCACACCGCCACACCATCACTCACACCACACCAGGGTGCACACCGCCACACCATCACTCACACCACACCAGGGTGCACACCGCCACACCATCACTCACACCACACCAGGGTGCACACCGCCACACCATCACTCACACCACACCAGGGTGCACACCGCCACACCATCACTCACACCACACCAGGGTGCACACCGCCACTTCCCGTAGCCCCACACACACCATCACATCGCACCCCAGCCCTCAACCCCCGTCGAACCTGGGTCCCGTACGTGAACCCCCTCGTTGTGAACCCCAGGGCGGCGGGGATGGCCGCGAGTGCCGCCAGGGCCCAGATGACCCCGGCCGTGAGCCCCGCGGCGCCCAACTCCCTCCGGGACCCCCCCCGAGAGGGGCCCCGGCTGAGCGCGCGCAGGCGCGCGGCGCTGATGGCGGCGGTGCTGAGGAGGGAGGCGGCGCCCCCAGCGACCAGCAGGGCGAACACAGACCTGGGGTGGGGGGTGGGGGGTATGGGTGGGTGGTATGGGTAGGGGGTGGGGGGTATGGGTGGGGGGTAGGGGGTATGGGTGGGGGGTATGGGTGTGCGACTCGCACCGCGCGTGTGTGCCTGTGCGCGCTTGTACAGAAGACAAAGATCCTCCGTGTAGCCTGTAACAGACTGTAGGGGCAAGTGCTGTTAGCGAGCAGCACCTGTGAAGGCCGGCACGGTACACGAGGGGGGTGGGTGGCCAGCAACCACGCCCGGCCGCCTTTGTCTCCCCAGTCGCGATGTTTACACAACCGCACCAGGTACTCATTTTGAGGCTGAGTCGACCTAGGGGAGGCCCAGGACCGGTTCAGATAATGGTCACCGGTGTTGGCCGTGAACGGGAATCACTACCGTTCCCCATACACACGTTGCCTCAACCACGTGCGCTCCCTCGTGTGCTCAATGCCGTGTACTGAAACGTGTGTGCTCATGGACTGACTAAAGGTGTACTCACCCACGTGGACTCACCCACGTGGACTCACCCACGTGGACTCACCCACGTGGACTCAACCACGTGGACTCAACCACGTGGACTCAACCACGTGGACTCAACCACGTGGACTCAACCACGTGGACTCAACCACGTGGACTCAACCACGTGGACTCAACCACGTGGACTCAACCACGTGGACTCAACCACGTGGACTCAACCACGTGGACTCAACCACGTGTAACTCGCTCGTGGACTTCAATGCCATCACTCCGCTCGTCGACTCATGCGTACTCCTCGATGCACGCGTACGCACGGAACTATTAAAACTTTATTTTTTTTATTTTACCAGGTGAGGCCCATCACGAATGATAGCTCAACGAAGTGGCGGCTCAGGGGCCGTCCATAAATGACGCCACGCGATTTACAGCAGCAGTCAAATACTCTGAACGCGTGGTGACGCTGACTGTAAATGTGGAGGGGAAAAAAACGGGGAAAAATCCACGCGATCACGGGGAGAGAGACACCGCAGACTCCAAATATACAGCAGCAGCAGGCGTCGGGGTCGGGATCGAACCCACGAACTCCTGTATACCAGGCGAGGTAGTTAACATCTCATAGCCACCGTGATGGATGATGATGAGAGAGAGAGAGACACGCAAACTCCAAATACACAGCAGGGGTCAGGATCGGACCCACGACCTCCTGTATACCAGGCGAGGTAGTTAACATCTCCTAGCCACCGTGATGATGATGAGAGAGAGACGCAAACTCAAAATATACAGCAGCAGGGGTCAGGGTCGGACCCACGACCTCCTGTACACCAGGCGAGGTAGTTAACATCTCCTAGCCACCATCCACCGCGGTTTACCCAGGTAACCCCTCCTCGAAGTCCGAGCCGGTGGGCGACTCTCGTGGCTCACCTGCAGGCGGCATCGCCGAGTCGCCACCCCTCCGTCCACCGCGCCGCGACCCCGACGCTCGCGGGGCCCAGCAGGGCCAGGCCGCCGGCGGCGAGACTGGCAACGAGAGGCGCCACGGGCCCGCGACGCGAGGCCCCGGAGCGGAGCTCGCCCGCCAGCGAGAGGACATTGGCAGCTGTGCCCAGTAGCACCACCAAACTGCGGGGGATAGTGGCGACGGGGGGGAGGGGGGGGGGTAAAGGGGCAGCCCTGCAAACGACCATTACCGGTGCGATTCCTTTGTTTTCGAACAGATAGACGGACGGTACGGCGGCAGAGCCACGTCACCGCCTGGTTGGTGGTGGTGGTTGTTGGTGGTGGTTGTGGTGGTTGGTGGTGGTGGTGGTGCGTCATCGTCGTCAATCATTCACCTGCCCTCGTTTCTCAGTGGGGGGGGGGAAACAAAGGCGCAGCCCCTGCAATTCCCTTACCGACGCCACGGCTGGCGGTCGGGGGGCCCCCATCCACACGAGGCGGCCTCGACCCCTCTCTGGGGATGTCGGCGTTTGTCCTACAAAGACAAAGATCCCCCGTGTAGCCTAAGCAGACTGTAGGGGCAAGCGCTGTTCACGAGCACCTATTAAGGCCGGAATAGCACACGAGGTGGGTGGGTGGGTGGGCCAGCAACACGCCCGACCGCCTTGGTCTCCCTAGTGGCAATGTTTACTCCACACCGCACCAGGTACTCATTTGAGGCCGAGTCGACCTAGGGGGAGGGCCCTGGACCGGTTCAGATAATCGTCACCGGTGTTGGCCGTGAGCGGGAATCGAACCCGGGCCGCCAGGTTCGTAGTGCAGCGCGCTAACCGCTACACCACCGCTCCACCCTACTCAGCCAGGGTCCACGCACGCCACGCCAGGTCCAGTGTGAGGCGCAGCGGTGGCTATGAGATGTTAACTACCTCGCCTGGTGTACAGGAGGTCGTGGGTTCGATCCCGACACTGACGCCTGCTGCTGTATATTTGGAGTTTGCGTGTCTCTCTCATCATCATCACGGTGGCTAGATGTTAACTACCTCGCCTGGTATACAGGAGGTCGTGCGTTCGATCCCGACCCTGGCGCCTGCTGCTGTATATTTGGAGTTTGCCTGTCTCTCTCTCTCTCCCCGTGGTCGCGTGGATTTTTCCTCCCCGTTTTCCCCTCCACGTTTTTGAATGAACATCGCGTGCGTTTAGAGTATTTGGCCGCTATAAATGTCCACGTGATGACGATAAGCCACTTCGTTAAAACCATCATTCGTGATGGCCGTGTCGGTTCTTTAAAAATAAACTACGCAGCTCAATGGGCCTCACCTCGTGGAATAAAATGAGTCTATCGGTTGTTGAGGTCGCGATCGAACCCACGACCTCCTGCATACCGGGCGAGGTAGTCAACATCTTGCTACCGCCGTGCAAATACCCCGGGGCATCTGGCTACATTCTCACCTTGAGTGTAAATAAAAAATATAAATGTTCGTGTTCATGGCAACATTTTAAATACTGTATATGAGTAATATTATGATGTAAATAGTGATGGACGTGATGTGTGATGGAATGTTTTGGTGAGTGAAGTGGTGATGTGGTGAGTGATGTGGTGATGTGGTGAGTGATGTGGTGAGTGATGTGATGAGTGATGTGGTGAGTGAAGTGGTGATGTGGTGAGTGATGTAGTGAGGGATATGGTTAGTGATGTGGTGAGTGCAGTGAGTGAAGTGGTGAGTGATGTGGTGAGTGAAGTGGTGAGTGATGGTGATGATGTGAGTGATGGTGATGATGTGAGTGATGGTGATGATGTGAGTGATGGTGATGATGTGAGTGATGGTGATGTGAGTGATGGTGATGTGAGTGATGGTGATGATGTGAGTGATGGTGATGATGTGAGTGATGGTGATGTGAGTGATGGTGATGTGAGTGATGGTGATGTGAGTGATGGTGATGATGTGAGTGATGGTGATGATGTGAGTGATGATGTGAGTGATGATGTGAGTGATTGTGATGAGTGATGATGATGTGAGTGATGGTGATGATGTGAGTGATGGTGATGATGTGAGTGATGATGATGTGAGTGATGGTGATGATGTGAGTGATGGTGATGATGTGAGTGATGGTGATGATATGAGTGATGGTGATGATATGAGTGATGGTGATGATATGAGTGATGGTGATGATATGAGTGATGGTGATGATGTGAGTGATGGTGATGATGTGAGTGATGGTGATGTGAGTGATGGTGATGATGTGAGTGATGGTGATGATGTGAGTGATGGTGATGATGTGAGTGATGGTGATGATGTGAGTGATGATGATGTGAGTGATGGTGATGATTTGAGTGATGGTGATGTGAGTGATGGTGATGTGAGTGATGGTGATGATGTGAGTGATGGTGATGTGAGTGATGGTGATGATTTGAGTGATGGTGATGTGATGGTGATGTGAGTGATGGTGATGATGTGAGTGATGGTGATGATGTGAGTGATGGTGATGTGAGTGATGGTGATGATGTGAGTGATGGTGATGGCATCTCAGTACCCTCCTCACCCCATCGCCGCGGTCTCCAGCGCGAGACCGACTCCGCCCCTCTCCATCCCGAACTCCGAGAAGAAGGCAAAATAAAGACTGCGCCTTTGGGGGGCGCCGGGGGGTGACTCCCCCTCGAAATACGACACCATCCCTCACCACCTCACCCCTCACCACCCCACCCCTCACCCCTCACCACCCCATCACTCACCACCCCATCACTCCCCATCCCTCACCACCAACTCGTCAACAAATCTTCTCAGAGTCAAAGTCGCTGTCCGCCCGTCGGCTCTCAACTCTGTGCTCTTCATCCATCGGAGCCGGCTGTCCCTCACCTCTTCTCGCACCTCTTCTCCTCTTCACCCCTTCCTCATCCACGACCCCCTGCCCCCTCCTGCTCCACCACCACCACCACCTCCTCCACCTCCTCACTCAACGTCTTCTTTCAGAGGCAAAATCGACGAGCAGCTGCCCGCTGCTCAATGTGGAGTCGAACCCAAACGTCCTTGGATTTAAGTGCCCCAGGTAAAAGGGGACTTCGCCCGGGGAGGTTCCCCATTCATTCCACCCGCACCCTCCTACCACGTGCCCCCCCCCACCCCCCCCCCACAGCCCCCACAGCCCCCACGGTCCCACCCCTCTCGATCAGCCACGCCAAGCCGCTCGTGAAGCCCCTCTCTCAGCCACCTCCTAGTTGTAGACTTTCACCGCTGTTTATGGCTCCCGGGGTCGGTGAACGCGGTCCACCACTCGCTCCTCTCGCACAGGGCCGCGGGTCGGCCGCGCGGTGGCAATTCAAAAGTTAAACTTTTGGCTCTCAATTCCAAAATTTACTTTTCTTGACTCTCGATTTCTAAGCGGTGCGAATATTGGCAGGGGCCGTCCATGGGGGGGAGGGGGGGCATCCCACTGTGTTGGCCCCCCACTCCCGAAGCCTTCAAACTAAACCAGAAGTGTGAAATTTGACAACCCCCCCAAAAGCGTGGGGCCCGGGGCGGTCGCCCCGACTCGCCGTACCCGAGGGACGCCTCTCGACTATCGTCAGCGTCACAACACCACCACCACTCCCAAGTTTACATTCGGAACTCGAGCACTGGTAACAGCCACGTGGCGCGTCCCTAAGCCTCGTGCGATCCAAGGGCTGCGTCCGCGACAGGGCCTCGCCTACGTCACAATGGCTCTCCCACGTCACAATGGCCCTCTTGTATGTCCTATACAGGGATGGTCCAGATGGCTCGTGACGCCAAAGCGTCAACGGGTCAGGTGAAGCGAATCGCATCGGGCCGTGTTCTTCACGATGCACGTGGGATGAGGGGGTACACGCCTTTAAAGAGGCAGGTCGCTTCTGAACAGGAGCTGCATTGCGGCTACCTGGGGCCTTGGCGGTGAGCACAGAAACTATTTTCGTTTTAGTTGTGTTTTTTTTCAACGGTTTTATGTCACTTCACTCGTGTTTGTCGTGGTCAAATCTTGTAATCAAAAGTTAGTCTACTTTCTGTTGTCCAATCAATTCCAAATTTTGTACACATACTGAGATCCGGAGACAATGCATGGCTGTATCAATTAAATCAATTAATTGCCTCCTTTCAAGCAATTTCCAATTTTTGTATGGACGGCTTATTAATTATATATATTTTTTATTTCGGTCAAAAACGCCGCGGTCCCTAAACTGTGGAATCGCCTCGCAAAGAAGCAGGCGCCGCGTGCCTCAAAAGCCATTGACGCCATTCTCGACCGCGAGTTAAACTTAGTTCATATTCTTAGTTTTTTCGGTAAAGTCACGTTTTGTTGTTTCCCTTCAACGTGACTTTACCGAAAAAACTAAGAATATGAATTACTGCAGTCACGAAAGCTTTAAATCAAAACTTAAACTTAGTTGTTAATAAAACCGTGGTTTAAAAAAAAAGTTTTTTAAAGGAGTTTATTTGAGCCTAGGAGAAATCCGATTGCCAACTCGTCCCAGTGGGTTGCATCACGCAGGTCAACGCCGCCGTTCCGCCCAATGGGCGCAGTGGATGTTTGCCCACGTGGAGGCCGATCGTTAAATTGGACAAATGTGGACCACAACGTTATTTCAGGATCGGAGCACAATCTATCAACTATCCTGGGAGGAATTCCCTGCACCACGAAGTTCTGTCATCACGGATGTCCAGCAGGGGCGGGTCGGCAAGCACTTATGGTCAATACGTCCACAGCAGTGTTAAACTACAAATATTTTATACTGTTTTTTTCGATAGTCACGTAGGTTAAAATAAAATTGAAAAGAAACTAAATCAAATGTGATTTGATTTAGTTTCTTTTATTTTGTTTTACCTACGTGACTTTACCGAAAAAAACAAAGAGTATGAATCCTTGCAGTGACGAAAGTTTCAAATCTAGAATTACAAATATTTAAGTTTTTTTTAATCTTAACAGGCAAGGCCCCACTGAGCTATGTGGCTTTTTCGGAAGAGACCTGGCCACAAATGATAGCTCAAGTGGCTTATCACGTGGAAATGTATAGCTGGCAAATACTGTACTCCAAACGAATGTCTCGAAATGTGGAGGGGGAAAATACGGCACGACCCCCGGGAACTAATACCATGGTGCAGACAGTCATGAAGACTCCACTGACACAGGCATCATCATCATGCAGGTTCGGGATCGAACCACCCAGGACCCACCTGTAGACCAGGCGAGACAGATGACATCTCCTAGCCAACGTGGCACCGCGGAGGCTGATCCGGGGGGGGGGGGTGGGGGGGTTTGAACCGCAGGTCTCTGCAATAAGTGGCAACCGCTCGATACGTATCGCTGGCTGGGCCAAGTGACCATCCCCCCCCACACCCCCCAATAAAGAGGCAGAGTGGGCATCGGTACGTACAAGACAAACAAAAAACCCACGTGCTTTATTTCTGACAGGAGCGGGGACCAACACGCGCGTCGTGACCCATTTCGGGAGGGTGGCCTTCATCGCCACCGTCATCATCATCACCACCACCACAGCCTGGTGGCAATGGGCGTGCTGGAAACACCGATCACGACCACTCAACTCGTCGCTTTGCGATGCTGCTGCTGCTGCAGTATTGGGCCACTCGGTGGTTGCACAGGGCACACGTAACCAAGACTTTCTAAGCGCTCACTCCTCCTCGATATCGCTGCGACTCAAAACAAAGAAAAACCAATTACAACGGGAGGCGTCGTTTTGGGCGAACTGCGTCTCTCCTTTCATTTCACTCTTTCGTGCCATGAGGGAGCGCCCCTTGCCCAAAACTGTCACCTCACTCGTGCTCTTTATATACTTGTTTTGGGCTCGTGCTATTGACACGCGTGTCTAACCGCAGCGACCTACCCCACCCCACCAAAGGTCACGCGAGATCTTTAAATTAAAGCCCCACAACACCCCCGGAGGATTCCGCGAGCCGCTCGCTTCCACAGCAGCGTGGAGGGGGTGGGGGGGAGAGCCGCGTAGCGACCCAGGCAGACATCGCCCCCCCCCCTCCCCCCACCTCCCCCACCTCCACCACCCCACGACGTCCCGACAAAGAGTCGGGGAAAGCTTCTGCCGACGAACATATTTGAGGGGTGTTTTTTTTGTAAACCACTTCAAAGTTACCCTGCGGAGGAGGAGGGTGTGGAGGGGTCTCCATCGCGATGTCACGGCGCGTTGACGGGGCAGCACGCGAGCCTCATCGGTCACACGGGCGGCGGGGGGGGGGGGGGGAGTGACCGTGCCACCGACTAGGGCGACTTCAACAATGAGTTCTTGCGACGGCCGTTTTGTGTTCCGCGTCTTCACGGCAACCCGAGCCACTTTGGGGGGGCACGCGAGTCGATTCAACGGCCTTCTCTGCACACTCTCGTCGCCGGGTGACCTCCGCGACGAGCGAGGCACCGTCCGCGAGTGATCGTCCCCGATGTCACTTTCACGGCCCCCTTACAACGGGTAACGGGCGAGAGTCCCCACCCCTCCCCCACCCCCCCCCCCCCACATTGCACTCTCGATGGAAGTCCACCAAAGCTTTGTTAAACGGGAAGAAATAAAAACAAATCGCGCCCAACCGATCCTCCAGGGAGGGGGAGCTCAGATCTCTAAGCCCGGTCGCGTCGGTGGAGACCCGCCGTTCACACTCCGAGTGATGGGGTCACTTCCTTCCCAAGCGTCGCACGGCTCGCGCGAGAGCCGTCGATGACGGTGTGACGGAGGAGGGACGCCACCGAGACTCCACCGCCCCCCGCCCACCCCCCCCCCCCCCCCCGAAGAGCGAACGGAAAAAGTTGCTTCGACAGATTCTGCTACGGACACGAGCGTCCAACTCGCCGACATCCGGCGAACGTCCGGCGGCTTTGGAACAGACCTCCCACCGACGTGAACGCCATTGACACGAGTCCACGAAAGTAAAACGGACATCCGCCTGCGGGGCATTGGAAGTCGACTCGCCCGTGACTCGCCAAAGTGGAACGCAGGCGACTCGAACGGCTCCCTGAGCAGCACGTGGAACCCTGAGGACTCGCACGCAGACGTCTACGGGAGGTGAGAAGTCCTTCCGCAGGATTCCTTCCGGCGGATCTCGGCGGATTCCACACCCAGCCCAAGTGACAGCAAACACAGCCGATGAAGATGGTCAACCCCCTCACAGCACTCCTCTGCCTCCTCGGCCCCCCTTTCTCTTGGGCGGGGGCGCTAGGGGGGGAGAGGGGGCACCAAGTGGACCCCCTCTTAAAGGGCACGCGGTAATTAACGAAGGCACTTTTTCCACGAGCGTGGAGAAGGTTCCTTGAAGGCTCCCGCAGTGGTGAACTCAGTCTGTCATTGCTCACTCGCGTGTGGAGGAAACGTATGAGGGACATCGCCCCCCCCACCCGCCACTTGCGAGACAATTACAGACTACGCCTGTGAAACTTAGCGCCTTCGCGATAATAAAAAAAAAATACCAAATGCCGGTGTGCAGGTTCTGGGGCGATTACGTTGGAGTTGGCAGCGGGCTTGGGGACAAGGCCCTCGTCCGGCAGCGGATAGACCCCACGGTGGTGACGATTTGATTTTTTTTTTACTCTGCCTTCAGTTGTATAGCGGCGTCGGGCGGTGATTAGCGAACGGCGCTGCGAACCCAGAGAGACCCTCCGACAAGATTCCCGGGCGCGGCTAACATCGGCGGCGAGCGATATCGGAAATTGATCGTGAGGTTCCATACAAAGACTACCCCCCCCCCCCGCCCCCGTATAACCTTCAACCGACTGTTGGGACAAGTGCCGCCATTAGCGAGCGCCAACGAAGGCTGTGGCACCGTGGCACAAACGAGGTGGGAGGATTTGTCAGAACGCCACGCCCGGCCGCCTTCGTCTCCAGCGGCGATGTTTACACACCGCACACCGGGCTACTCGTTCTGAAGCCGAGTCGACCTAAGGGGAGGCCCAGGACTGGTCCAGACAACGGTCACGAGAGGCGGCCGTGAGCGGGGATTAAACCCCGGGGGTCGCCGGGTTCGTAGCGCAGCGCTCAGATCACGACGCACTCCAGCTCTTCAAACATTGTCTGACCAGGTGCGGGCGAAGCGTGGCCAAGCGACCCCCACCAAGGCAAGTGGAGGCGGGCCTTTATCCGGGAAGCGAACTGGAAAAATTTTTACTGCAAATTATTATTTGGATGATAACTACTTGTTGCACTTTTACAAGCGGCACCGTGGAGAGAAAACTAATGGCTCAACCGGATTCGGGGAGTCCGAACCGTTGACGTTTCAGTAACAACACGAGCAAAGCGTGCGGCGACAGCAGGCACTCACCTGCGCACCTCTGCCCTGCCACCGCCCCCCCCCATCCCCGGATCGAACATGTGACCCTCAACGTAAGCCGCACCCCCCCCCCCGCCCACCGGTGCCGATCCGCGCCCTGCAGCGTTTCAGCTGCGCCACCGCCATCGGCTCCTCGCGAAAATCGCCGCAGCCGCTTTGCCCGCATCCGAGCGAGCGGTTGAGCGACAGGGGGGGGCGTGGCCGCGTCTGGCTACTCCCTCTCCCGGTTAAGCTCCGCCCCTAAACCAAACCCCGACCCCCCCCCCCCGCCTCACCACCCCCCCCACGCGCGTCACGATTATAACGATCACAGTTCACAAAAAAAACGAAACGCTGTTAGGCCGCTTAAAAAAACAAACACAATCGTCGCCCCAGTCGCTTGACAAGAGCCGCGTCGCCTGCGAGCGGACAGCCGCCCGCATCCGGTTGCAGAGACGAGAGCGAGCCCCCCCCCCCGCCCCCCGCCCCCCGGGGTAGCACGATGCTTGACGAGCGGTCGCTCCCGCCGGGGCGTGGGGAGGTGACGACGACGATGATTGTGCTAAAAGACGGCACGACGGGCGTGACAGGGCTCGCAGGAGCGAGGGGGGGGGGGGCTGCGTGGTTGGACTAGCGGAGGGCCCACTGGGGTTGAAATCCGCCATCGTTTCTGCGCTTTCCACGATCCCACACTTGGGGTGGATTCTGAGAAAACCCGAGTTGGTGAACGGCGCAGGCACCGTCGCAAGGCGGCCGACCCCGCCGACCCCGCCGACCCCGCCGACCCCCCACCACCATGGCAACGGTCGCAGCTCGCCAATGGACGCAAAAGCAAAGTGAGATTTAATTTCATCGCTACAGTCAACTAACAGCCACACCGCCCCAAATAAAACGACATGGCTATGGCCCCCCCCACCACCCTCCTCCCTTCCACCCCCTCCCCCCACAACAACCGTAACTTCTCCAGACGTGAGACGAGGATACAAAAACAAGACGACAGGGCATCGACGAGACGCAGAGCAACGGTGTGTAGGCACGGGGGGGCGGGGTGGGGGGTGTGGGGGGTACGACGGCACGACGGGAAAAATACGACCACCAGGTGCGGACCACAGCGCGAGGGGGCAGGGGGGTGTGAGAGATGGGGGCTCAGGTGTGAACCAGGGCCAGCCCAGACAGCTAGCGGTTGGGCTCAGCCGATAGGCGACTTGCCCAAACGGGACGCGAGGGGGAGGACGGGGTGGGTGGGCAAGGCGGGCGCGAGACAGGGCAAGTCAAAGGGGCACATGGGGGAGACGGGGCAAGCGAGCGGCTCAGGCTCAGGCTCAGGCGAGAAGACAAGTGTTGAGATAAGACACGGACGGACGGGGGGTGGGGGGGGGGGCAGGTGACGGGGGTGGGGTGGGGGGAAGAGAAAGAGTCATCGAATGAAAAGCCTGAGGTCAAGAGGCTGAGAGAGAGAGCGTGACGTGGCATCGCGTGCGCATTGATGACGCCGCGCGGCACGCTTGGTTGTGAGCGCCGTGACGTGCGCTGTGCGGTGCGTGGTGGTGGTGGTGGTGGTGTGCGATAGGTTTGGCTCGGTGTGGTGCGTGGTGGTGGTGGTGGTGTGCGATAGGTTTGGCTCGGTGTGGTGCGTGGTGGTGGTGGTGGTGTGCGATAGGTTTGACTCGGTGTGGTGCGTGGTGGTGGTGGTGGTGTGCGATAGGTTTGGCTCGGTGTGGTGCGTGGTGGTGGTGTGCGATAGGTTTGGCTCGGTGTGGCGCGTGGTGGTGGTGTGCGATAGGTTTGGCTCGGTGTGGCGCGTGGTGGTGGTGTGCGATAGGTTTGGCTCGGTGCGGTGCGTGCGTGGCGACCCGCGTGTCCCGTGCGGCGTCCCACGCGGTGTGGCCGCCGCGGTGGCGTGTGCAGTGTTTAGTACGACTCCTGCTCTCCCTCCACCTCGTCTTCCGGCACCTGGAACCCATCCTGTACGGAGGGGGGTGGGAGGGAGGGAGGGGTGGAGGGGAATGAGAAAAGGGTGCTGCTGCGCTGGGCCAGATGTTTCACCCTCACCTGGTATATATAGGTCGTGGGTTGAATCCCAACCCCGACACATGTACCGTATTTTCCCGCATATAGCCCACATACGCATAAACTCGCAGACGCATATACCCCGCAAAAAGAGCGTTTTGTGTAAAACTAATTTCAGATAGCCCGCACCTCCATATACCCCCGCATGCATTCATATCTTTAACGTCGTTACCGCAGCTTAATTCCATCATATTCATACAAAGTTTACGTTTGTAATACATTCCACTATCAATCGTTAACATTAAAATCATACCGTGCACAAAGAAAACTAACTAACCGGAAACGAGTGAACTTAAAACAGTAAATAAGTAACAAAAGTAAATATCCAATAAATAAGTAACACATAACTGGTAGATAAGTAAGTAAGCGTACTGTTAGGCTTACCAGCATTCAACCTCATCATATTACGGCAACTGGACCGGTAGTTACCCCTGTACAGTTTTAGCACTGGTAGACTGCGCACTGCGCAGAAAATAGCGGCACTACGGTAACGCCGTTGCCTCTTGGCAAAAGCCATTGGAAGTTTTAAACAAAGCTCATGGTCGCGACTGTATAGTGCTCAGCCAATCGCAGCGGCCTAAGGGACACAGCAATTATGATTCCGCGTCTGGTAGACGCTTGTTAAGGCCCTTCCCATTGTGCAATCCGTAGCCTCAGCTGAAACTTTCGCACCCCCCTACAGCCACTGAAAGTATTGCGGTAAACAAAGTGCGCCCACACTTCAAACACTGTCGTTTCATTGTACAAACAATTAGGCTAATTTAAAACGTGATAAGATGTGCTATTGTAGTGCGAGTGGTTTACTCAGCAGTGCTTTAGTCAAAGGTAAGTGTTGCATAGTGGATAGTCCTACCATGAGAAAATTTAACGAGTTATGACATGTCACACGTGTAAAATCTTTAGGGATAGCCCGCACACCTCCATTTACCCCGCAGGGTCTTGTTTTGTTTGTAAAAAGTGGTATACCCCGCGGGTTATATGCGGGAAAATACCGTACATTTGGAGTTTGTGTATCTGTCTCTCCGCGGTCGCGCGGTTTTTCACTTCACATTTAGAATCAACGTCCCCTTCACAGTATTTGGGCTGCTATAAATGTCCACACGATGACAGGCCACTTCGTCGAGCTGTCATTTGTGGCCAGGTCGCTCCTGAAAAAAAGCGATACAGCTACATGGGGGCCTTACCCGGTAAAATAACAAGTTGAGTTTTTAGTTCACATCAGGGAGTTACACCGGCACCTAGAACCTCGGCCCTAATGCAACAACACGTGGGCGAGCCGGCAAACCCCTCTTCCCCCGCACCCACGGGGTCAAGCACACAATACGGTTGTGCTTCAACTGTGGTTGCGAGTACCCACCTCCGTGGCGTTCAGGATGTGCTTGTGCACGAGTCGTGGTTGTGGCTGTGCGGTGGGGTTGAGTGCGCACACTCCGTGCCAATCAGGATGCGGTTGTGTATGGGGGTCATCGTGGTGCGGTGGCTGTGGCCGTGCGGTGGCTGTGGCCGTGCGGTGGCTGTGGCCGTGCGGTGGCTGTGGCCGTGCCGTGGTCGAGTACGCACCTCCGTGGCGTAGAGGATGTCGCAGATGCTGCTGATAACGGGCGTCTTATCCTCGTTGTTTTGACACAGAACCTCGATCTCGCGCAGCTTTCCAAAATAAAAGTCTCGCTCCTTCTCCAGCGTCTCCACAGTGGCCTTCAAGTCTGTAAGCTGCAAAAACAGACAAAGATCCCCCCCCCCCCGGTATAGCCTTAAACACACTTTTGGGGCAAGTGCTGTTAAGCGAGTAGCACCTATGAAGGCCGGGCATGGCACACGAGGGCGTGGGTGGCCAACACCACGACCTGTCTCCCTAATGCTGATGTTTACACACCGCAAGCAGGTACTCATTTTAGGCCGAGATGATTTAGGGGAGGCCCAGGACTGGTTCAGATATTCCTCACCTTTACTACTTGTGAGTGGGAATCGAACTCAGGCCGCCGGTGTTCATATCGCAGTACCCTGACCACCGTGCCACCGTTCCCGACACAGGTAAGCACACGCAAGTTCACACGTGCACGCAGGGATGTGACGCACAAGCGCACACATACATGCACGTACAGATCTCGCACCTCGGATTAGCGCAGTTGGCTAAGTACGGTGCGAAAGAAATTGAACATACATACACATACTCCCATCAGGACACGCGTGTCTGCTGTGTTAATATCTGTGCTGCTATGTGGATTCCCCTTTGTTGTGTTACGTGCACGTGTGCGCCCCGCTGGGCGCGAGTGTGTGCGTTTGTGCCCCCCGCTGTGTGTGTGTGTGTGTGTGCGCGTGTGGGGCGCGGGTACTCCTGCCACCATGAGGGGTGGACAGTCCTCTACTCGGGGCAGGAGACTGCCAAACAACAGGGTGTGGTTCTTATTCTGGCCAAAAGAATGAAGGGGACGTGGGAGCGTGGCGGTGAGGTGTGGGAAGCCCCAGGCTACTTTAGGCTCGCCTTCCCATCAACCGGAGGCGAGGAGCGGTGGTCGTGGTTACTTGTGCCCCCACCGAAGACGAACATCCGTGGAGGGATGCAGGCAAGGCTGATGAGTCAGATGCCTTCTATGACCTCCTGTCACAGGTGCTGGCTAAAGTGGCCCCTTGGGATAGTCATCTTGTTGGGTGACTTCAATGCCCCAGTTGGTCATGATGCTGGCACCTGGTCTGCAGTGATTGGAAGGCATGGGCCAGAGCAGCTCAATAACAACAGTAGGAGGCTAATTTTTTGTGCAGCCCATGGGGCTTGTAATTACCAACACACTGTTCAGGCATCGGAGTAGCCACACAACATCATAGATGCATGCCGGGTCCAAGCAAAAACATCTGCTGGACTACATAGTGACGGACCAGCAGATGCGAGCCTATGCCCTTGACACCAGGACCTACCGTGGAGCTGATCTGCCCTCTGACCATCAACTTGTCATCTGTTAGATGCACCTGCCATTCTTCCACTCCGGTGGTGGGTGTACACCCAGGACCCCATTCCAACCTAAGGTAGCCTGGTCTCAGCTCGCTGATGGAAGTTGCAAGCGAGAATTTCATCATCGCTTGCGGCTGGGGTTGGCATCATCCCCCACTCCTGATGTCGAGGGTAAATGGGCGAGGTTTAGGACTGTGACTCATGCAGCTGCAATGCTTTGGGTACATGGTCCAGACCTCCCCAGAGACACTGGCTGACAGAGGAGGTGTTCAGGATCGTTGAGAAAAAGCGACAGGCCCACTCTAATCGTCTACAGCATCCCACATCAGAGAATGAGGAGGCTTACAGCAGCCTTCGCTCGGAGGTTCGGAGAGCCGTGAGGCGCTGCAAGGATGGGTGGTGGTCACGGGTTGCTGAGGAGATGGAGTCTGCCTCAATGGCCCGCGATCACAAATCTCTATTTAACTCCATCAAAAGTTACCTGCAGCGCCACACCTATTAACATCATTAGGGGAAAGAATGGTGATCCAATCTCTGACCCCCAGGAACAGGTTTGCAGATTTGCTGAGCATTTCTTTGAGGTCCTGAGGGAGGGGGAATCCCTCAGCCTGGAAAACATCATGGGACAAAGTGGGGATGACCCTGCTGAGGCTGCGGTGCCTCAAATATTGGAGGAGGAAGTCACCCCCTATGAGTGGCTGGCTGAGGCGCCATCCGTTGAGGAAGTACTGAAGGCGATCCAGAGTCTGAGACCAGGAAAGGAACCGGGCGGAGATGATCTCCCAAGCGAAATGCTGAGGGTGGCGTTTGTACGCACCTGACATCATAACAACAGTCTGGGCCACTGGACAGGTTCCGCAGGATTGGAAGGATGCCCTGGTGGTCCCCTCTTTAAGAAGAGGGACCGCACAGACTAACAACTACAGGGGCATCTCACTCCTCAGTGTGCCGGGAAAGATCCTGGCAAGGATTATTCAGCATCGCCTTGCTCGGCACGCTGAGGAGAGGCTTGCAGAGCCCCAATGCGGTTTTAGGAAAGGGCGGCCCTGCACAGATGCCATATTTTCTGTCCGTCTGCTACAGCAGAGGTGTAGGGAATTCCAGCAAGACCTACATCTCTGCTTCATTGACCTGGTCAAGGCCTATGATACCATCAGTAGGCCTGGGCTCTGGGTTGTTCTTCATGCTTTCAGAGTCCCTGACCCTCTGCTCACGCTCATTAAGGATCTTCATGATGGTGAACAGGCCCGGGTAAAACTACGTGGCCGGGAGTCAGAGCCATTCCCTGTACACCTTGGCGTGCAACATCTATTTCGGCCACGTAGTTCGTGAAGCCTTCAGAAGCTGTACCGGAGGAATTTCCATCTGGTACAGATACAATGGGAGGCTGATCGATGCCCAGGTGCGGTCAAGGGATGGCTCCCTATTGGTCAAACACGTTATGTATGCCGACGACCTGGTAATTGCGGCTCACTCAGAGGAGGAGTTGGAGGCGCTGCTGCTGAAACTGGAGTGTGCCACTAAGAGGTGGGGCCTTACCATCAGCCCCACCAAAACGAAGCACCTGCCTGGGTATTTTGTACCATCGGGCACTCCACCCCAACAACTCCCAATCGGTGAAGGGGCAGTTGTGGAGAGAGTGGAGAGCTTCCCATACCTGGGCAGTGTCCTCATGACCGGCTCCGGTTTAACAGCAGAGGTCTCACTCCGAATCAGTCGAGCGGCATTATTTTTTCATCGGTTGAGTAACGCTGTGTGGAAGCAACCTGGTCTGTCGCTCCGCACGATGCTTCGAGTCTTCTCGGCCACAGTCATTCCCTCCCTTCTCTACGCTTGGCAAATGGGGATCCCCCTAATGGGACATCTCTGCCGGTTATAAACATTTAGGCTGGCCTGCCTATGATCAATCCTGGGTTTAACCAGGCTGGATTGTGTGAGGAGCTTTCAAATCCTCGAAAGATCTGGACAAAGTCCCATCGGTGAGCTCCTCCAGCGGGCAAGGCTGCGTTGGCTGGGCCATGTAGCCCGCATGCCCAATCACCGCATGCCCAAACAGCTTTTGTTCGGCCGGATCGAGGGGACTAAAGTGGTGCGGCACGGGCTAGAGAAGAGATGGAGTGATGTGGTACAGGAGGATGTGGAGCTGAGTGGACTTGCCGATGACTGGAACCAGCGGTGTTAAGATCGGCCTCTGTGGAGGAGGCTCGTGAAGGACGCTACTGGGCAGTTGGAGGCAGTCGCCCTCCAACAACAACGGAGGGCGGAGGAGCGACGCTCACAACAACGAGCGGAGCGCCGGGTGGCTAAAGCACAGCAAGTTGGCACTGTAGTCGATTCAGCCTCAAAATGAGTACCTGGTGCAGTGTGTAAACATCGCCACTGGGGAGACAAAGGCGGTCGGGCGTTGTGCTGGCCACCCACCCCCTCGTGTACCTTTCATAGGTGCTGCTCACTGACAGCACTTGCCCCTACAGTCTGTTCAGGCTATACAGGGGATATTTGTCTTTGTCTGTGTGCGTGTGTGCCGCTGGGAGTGTGTGCGCCCCCCGCTGTGTGTGCGTGCCCCCTACTGCCTGTGTGTGTGTGTGCCCCCCACTGTGTGTGGAGACTAACCTGTTGCCCAAGCTCCGCCACTGCCGGGTCCTCCCCGCACCCGTTGCGTGCTGCCGCCCCCCCAGCCGGCGGCCTCCGGGGCCCTGTGCTGGCCTGGGTCGCTGGGGAGGCTGCCCCCATGCGCTGGACCGGTACCATGCGCGGGGCTATGCACACACACACACACACGGACAAGCACACGTACACATGCATGCAGACACGTGCACAAAAGCACACGCACACAAAAAGACAAAGAACCGCATATAGTCTTAACAGACTGTTGGGGCAAGTGCTGTTTGCGAGCGCCTATGAAGTTCGGCACGATACACGAGGGGGTGGGTGGCCAGCACCACGCCCGGCCGCTTTTGTTTCCCCAGTGATGATGTTTACACACCGCACCACGTGCGCAGTTGAATTCCGAATCCACGCGACCACGGGGAGAGAGAGACACGCAAACTCCAAACATACAGCAGCAGGCGTCAGGGTCGGGATCGATCCCACGACCTCCTGTATACCAGGCGAGGTAGTTAACATCTCCTAGCCACCGTGATGATGAGAGAGACACCGCAAAACTCCAAATATACAGCAGCAGGCGTCAGGGTCGGGATCGAACCCACCAATCCTGCAGTAGCAGTAGTTAACATCGCCACCGGGGCTCCCAATCCGACTGCCTCTACGCATCGAGTTCTACACCAAGCTCAGTGAGGAAGGGGACTGGGGGGGTCGCTCCGCGCTTCACAGCGCGGTTCCAACTTCAGCGAGTGGAGCAACGGCGCAGTGGTCAGGGAAGTCGTGCTACGAACGCAGCGTCCCGAGTTTAATTCCCGGCCACGGACAAATGCAACGGGCGAGAACCACTCCTGCACCCTCCCCCACCCTACCAGCTCGCGCTGCCCAGCGTGGTGAAGCATGGCAAAAACCCGCCGACCCACCCACCAATGAGTTGCACGGCACAGAAAAAAAAAACCTTCTACCCATTAGCGGATTTGTCAACAGCTGCTGCAATTGCATTTCATTCAACTTCATCTCGGGCCGACGACTTTGTGGCGATTGCGGGCGGGGCGCGAGCGATCGACTGCCCTCACCGGTTTGGCAGACCGGCTTGCGGGTCTTTGGGGCCAGCTGCTCGGCGCTGCCAGACGCCACCGGGCCCTGCATGCCGTGCCTCGCGCCCAACGGGTCGTACTCCTTGCCGTCGTAGTTGGCGTCGAAGAACTTCTTGAACCACTGCACGAACTCAAAGTTGTCCTGGAACTTGCTCTTCACCAGCTTGTCCACCGGTATCACCTTGAGGAAGCGTGTGCGCGCACAAGGATGAAACAATTTCGATTTAAAGCTTTCGTTCACTGCAAGGATTCGTCTTCTTTGGTTCTTGCGGTAAAGTCACGTAGAATGAGAATAAAATAATCAACTGATAAAATAAGACGATAAAATTCTCACGACGTTTCGGCTACAACACAAGTAAGCCCTTCTTCAGGTGAAAGAACAGAACTGTCGGCACGACAGTGCTTCAATCCCGATAAAAAAACAACTATTAAAACTAGTTTTATTTTAGCAGGTAAGGCCCCGCTGAGCTCCATGGCTCTTTTTCAGAAGCGACCTGGCCACAAATGATGGCTCAACGGAGTGGTCTACAGTATGGAAATTTAAAGCAGTCAAATAATCTAAATGCATTACATTAAATTGACCACCTCCGCGCCTTCGTGTAGCTCTCCGACCTTACATTGACATGCAAATTTCCCACTTTAACATCACTAGCCCCGCCCACTTCGTTTGACCCTTGGGCTACACCCATTTCAAACCTTTAAAACATCCTGCCTCAGCGGCTCTCCCGCTGTTTTTTTTTTCTCCTGATGATGATTGCTTCGTGCTACGATCGAAACGTCGTAGTTTTTTTTGTTATTTTCTTTGAACCTCTCTACGTGACTTTACCGAAAGACCCAAGAATATTAATTAATGCAGTCAAGAAAGCTCAGTCGAGATTTGCATGATATTAATTCTAAATGTGGAGAGAAAAAGTGTAGGACCCGGAGAGAAATCCACACGACCACGGGGAGAACATGCAAACTCCAAATATACAGGCGTCAGGATCGGGATGGAACCCACAACCTCGTGTTTACTTGGCAAGGTAGCTATGAGCGCTGGCACGATTCTCCCACACTCTCGTCTAATCCACATCGGTCAACCACCACACTGCAGGCCCCAACCACACTCTAGGCCACAACAACACTCATCCACTCGCTACTCGCTCACCGCACTGCAGGTCACAACAACAAACTCCCCCCCCCACTTTGGAATTCCCTCCCATCGTAACTCTCCCCCCACCAAAGCTTTTAGACTAAATCAGCCTTGCGCTGCTCAGCTTGTCAAGCACGTTCAACTCGAACCTATCCCAGGTTTGACGGTGCTGTTGGTAGCTGGCCGCACAACGTTCTGGGCTCTCTGGGACCGTGCTCAGCATCGGTGTTTTTACAGGAAAGAGAAAAATGAAACCAAGAGGATCTTCTGGGTCACGGGAAAAAAAAACCGTCCTCACCTTGTCCACGCCCATCTTCTTGAAGGCGACTTGTAACAGCTTGAAGTTGTGCAGATATTCATGCTCATGCTTGGCCTGAAACTTGGCCTTCTTCAGCAAGATGCAGCCGGGGAACAGCATGTCCATGAACTGGCAGTATGCCACACCTATACAAAGACAAAGACCACCCCCCCCCCCCGGTAAAGCCTTAACAGACTGTCGGGGCAAGAGCTGTTAAGCGAGCACCTACGGAGGCTGGCAGGACACACGAGGGAGGAGTGGCTGGCAAAAAAGGTCCCATGATAAACGTTCATCGCACACAATACACGCAACACAACGTCGCATTATCACATACACTATCTCATTACATACAACAGCACAAATAAAACAAATGCACGTCCATTAACTTATGGTAAGGAATAGCTGGTGCACACACACACACACAAACCCCACATAGCATGCATACAACGCACACATGACATCATATAGACAGAGCATCATTCTGCACACATAACACCTGCCGCAATTTTTCACCAAGTGGTGGTGACGTCACCACAGCGCCTGTGCCAGGCACACACTTTGAGGCGCCGTTAAGTGTCGATGGCTCGCTGGTAGGAGGTCACGGGACAGACCCAAGTGCAAGAGGCTAATCTTTACACCGCTGGTACCGGTTTGCGGCATGTCTTCTCAGCTCGCATCAGCTCCATCTCTTCTCTCGCCCGTGTCATGCCTGTTTAGCCCCCTCTATCCGAGCAAACGGAAGCTACTTGGGCATGTGGTGGCTGGGCATGCGGGCTACATGATACAGCCAAGGCAGCCCTTGCCTGGCGGAGGAACTCACCGATTGGGAATGTGTCCAGCTCTTTGAAGCATTTGTGAGCACATTCAACACACACGTCACGTCACGCGCTTCACGTATCGCGTAAACCCCGCACGTACAACAATCCACACGTTCAACATTCGAAATGCACCATGCAATGCACACACACCACACCGCACGTGTAACACCACTGACCGAACTGGCAGTTACTCCGACAATACCTACCTCACAATGGAGAACACACGAAGCGTACACACAGCAACGTTAGCTTTGCGTGGGACAGAGGACATATCTGAAGTGGCACAGGAGGCAAAGGGCAGGTCTCGAGCAGGTCTAGCGGGACAGGGGCATGGATCTAGTATATATGATGGCAGGTCTGCTGGGGGTAAAGGGGCAGGTCTAGTCGATGAGGGGGCAGATCTCGTAGGTCAGAGGGCATGTCTGTGGGGGCAAAGGGCAGGGCAGGGCAGACAGGACAAGGACAAATACTCGTGCATGACATGGTTAGGTGGGGCAAGGGGTTTAACCGGCACGACACGTCCGGTGGAGTTGGTGGGAGATGGGCGGATGGCTGGGTGGATGTGGCTGGGTGGATGTGGCTGGGCTGGTGAGGTAGAACTGTGAGGGCACGGGCAGGAGAACGGTTTGGGGCGAGGGGTGGCGGGCGAGGGGTGGCGGGCGAGGAGGGGGGGGGGAGGGCAAGGCCGGCGGGGCAAGGCTTACCAGAGCAGAGCTGCTCGATCTTGCTGTACTGCAGCTGCAGTGTCTCGTTGATCCAGTTGATGATGTCGTGCCGGGAGAGGTTGTCTGTCGTCACCGACGTGGCGTGAACATTGACGGCCATCGCAAACCTTCGCGCGCACGGCAACAGCAGCGACGACCGCCGTTGAGCACTCGGTGGCGGTGACGTCACCACGGCCGCTTGTGCCAAGCTCGGTGCACGCTGAGGTCACGTGCAGTGTCAACTCTCGTCGCTGGCAGGTGGTTACGGAACAGACGCCATGGTGGCGAGATGTTAACTGCCTCGCTTGGTGTCCAGGGGGTCGCGGGTTCAATCCAGAACCGGACGCCTTCTCCGGTATTTTTCCCCTCCGCATTTAGAAACATCCATTTAGCTGCTATGAATTTACAAAGAAGCCACTTTCTTTGAGCTATCAATTGCGGCCAGGACAAAGAGCTATACAGCTCAGTGGGTCTTACCTGGTAAAATAAAAATAGCTCAGTTTTAGACCCAGATGCCATGGGTTGACTGACTGAGATGAGTGGCAGATGCACCAACTGTGCTCCCTATTGTGAAAACTGTGCGTTTTAGCCACCCGGCGCTCCAACTCGTTATTGCGAGCGCCGCTCCTATGCCCTGCATTGTTGCTGGAGGGTGAATGCTTCCAACACACACACCAGGTCACTAGTGCACATGATACTGTCCTGGTCTTTGTGTGTTCTCAGGTGTATAAACCAAATAAACTTGAAACTTTGAACACACACACATATACATAATGTGTATGCACACAGCACACATAATGGACACAGGCATATGAAGGCAAAGATCCGCCTTACATACAACCTGTTGGGGCACAAGTTCTGCTGGAGAGCCCATTAAGGGCAAGATGGATGAGAGGTGTGGCAAGCACTATGCCCGGCCAACTCTGGTTCCAGTGCTGATAATTATAATCACACATCGTACCAGGTATTGAGGTTGAGTCAACCTAGGGGAGGTCCAGGAGCAGTTCAGATACCTCTGGAAAACAATGTCAGCTGTGACCAGGATTCCAACTCGGGTTACCGGGTTCGTGGCGTAGTGTGCTAATCACTTCACCACCGTTCCCCACACAGCACACACACAGACACACACAGACACACCTACACACGGACACAGCACACACGCAGATACACCTACACAGACACGCGTACACACACACCAATACCCGCCACTCGCCACTAAGTGACGGTGATGTCACCACGGTGCCGGTGCCAGGCGCCCTTTGAGGCCACGTGAAGTGGCAAAGGCTGGCTGAAAGGTCATGGGACAGACCCAGCAGGATGCCATGGGTTGACCGACTGAGATGACTGGCAGATGCACCCAGGTGTACCCCCTACTGTGCCAACTTGCTGCATTTTAGCCGCCCAGCGCTCCCCTCGTTGCCGTGAGCGTTGCTCCTCTGCCCTCAGTTATTGTTCGAGGGCGACTGCCTCCAACTGCCCAGTAGCATCCTTCACGAGCCTCCTCCATACACACACGCTCACACGAATACACATACATAAACGCGTATATGTATACATACACAAGCATACAAAGATCCGCCTGTTTCGCCCAACAGACTGCAAGGCTGTTCACAGTGTGAAGCAAGAAGGGGCCTCAAAATGCACCTTAGCTATGTCACAATTCAAGTGGTGATGTTACCATCACTTGTGAAGGGCGTCTGTTGTTGATAATAGTAAATGTAGTGGGGTGATGGTGGAGCGATGGTTCTGGGGGGTGTGGTGGTGGTGATTATAATATTGAAGCTATCGGTCATGTTGGTGGTGGTGATGATCGTAATGCTGGCAGTGACGGTGGTTACGATGATGGCAATGAACATGGTGGTGACACCAGTGGTGATGATGGCGGCGGTGATGATGTTCCGAGCAGTCATGTTGACGACAGGGAAGGTGAAGATGGTCGTGGTTATTGTGTCAATCATCCTGCAAAAGATGGTAGTGGTGGCAATGATGGTGTTGATGCTAGCAGTAACGTAAGTTGGCGTTGATGCTGAAGTGGTGATGGTAGTAATGATGCTAGGGAAGGTGGTGACAATGTTGATGATACTGTTGATGGTGATGATGACGGTGGTGGTTATGGAATGACAATGGTGATTATGATAGTCATGGTAAGGATGATGGTGGTGGCTGATGATGATCACGGTGTTGGTGATGGCGGTGGTGATGTGGGGAGCGGTAGTGCAGCGGTTAGCACGCTGCGCTTTGAACCTGGCGACCCGAGTTTGATTTCCGCTCAAGGCCAACACCAGTGACGATTATCTGAATCGGTCCTGGGCCTCTCCTAGGTAGACTCAACCTCAAAATGAGTACCTGGTGCGATGTGTAAACATCACCACTGGGGAGACAAAGGTGGCCAGGCGTAATGCTAGCCACCAACCCTCCCCCATGTGCCATGCCGCCCTTCACAGGTGCTCGCTAACAGCACTTGGGGTCGGCAAACCAAAAATAACGGCCATTTGTTTCGAATTCGGTAAAGAAAGAACTCAATATTTCATGAGCCGCTATGCAATGTGGTGAAAACCTCCTGACCCCTGGTCTCAGCTATAGCGGGGATTGGTTGCGAGCGACCGCGAAGACGCCGATAAGAAACTGGGCGACCAAATGTGTACGTTAGCGGCTTACGCAGGCGATGACTCGCATCGCGAGACACCGCGCACAGTAAAACAGACGGAATGCGTTCAGTGATGGTCCAGTTCATGGTGGCAACAGCTGCAGCTGCATTAAAGCATCCTCACCAGAGGCGAGCCTCACAGGAACAAACATTCTTACCAATGCACAGAGGGTACAGCCACCACTCACACATCCACAAATACACAAAGGTCTCCCCGTATAGCCTGTGACAAACTGTTGGGAGGCAAGTGCTATCAGCTAGTAGCACCGATGAAGGCCGGCATGTCACACGAGTGGGTGGGTGGCCAGCACAACGCAGGGCTGCTTTTGTCTCCCGAATGTCGATGTTTTTCAACACCGCACCAGGTACCCATTTGAGGAGTGAGCAGGCATCGAAATTGGCCGCTGGGTTCGTATCACAGCGCGCTAACGACTCCACTACCACTACACAATCTTACATACGCCCAATCACATGCCCATCTCTATGCAGTCTTATGTAGGTAAACTCTCACACGCACACCAACTTCCACGTGGTACACTATTAAAAGCACATACGCAAAAACATCCTCACACACCACAGTCTGTATACACATTACAACACATGCACACAAAAAAAGCCTGTAACAGACTGTTTGGGCACGTGCTGTTAGCGAGCACCTATGAAGGCCGGCAGAGCAACCACGCACGGCCGCCTTTGTCTCCCCAGTGGCAATGTTTACACACCACAGCAGGCACTAATTTGAGGCCGAGTGGACCTAGGGGAGGCCCAGGACCGGTTCAGATAATCGTCGGACATGTGCACACTCGCTTGTACACAGGCACACTTGTATCCACATGGCGCTTACAGTTTTATAAAAAAAAACTACAGTACTGCATTTTCTGCGTTGTATTGCAGTCAGAACGGATGACTCAATCAAAAGGCTGCGAGTTAAATTCTTCACAGACCGGGCAGAATATAGTTCTGCTTTGTGGAAAGCCAATACACAGTACCGTCGTGGCGATATATAAGAGCACGGTGCTTGCGGCCACAGGAATGTGGAATTTCCGCAGAGAGATGGGTTGATGGCCGATGGACAAAAATAATGATGGAGTGGCAGCCGAGGAATGGAATGCGTTCGAGAGGACGTGCGCGGGAGAGATGGAGCAATGGAATCGGCTGGTGCACTACGTGTTATTATTATAACGCCGCAGGATCGTGAGGGGTGGCGCGGGTGGGACATGGGGAGGCCTTCATCCAGCAGTGGATTGACAATGATGAGGATTACGAGAATGAAACCCAAATCAAAACTCAGAACCCTCAGCAGTGACAAGGCCAACTGAGCTACATAGCTCTAATTTCAGAAGCGACCTGGCCATCACAAATGATAGCCCAAACAAGTGGGATATCATGTGTACATTTATAGCAGCCAAATACTATCAAACGTGTGATGTCGATTCTTAATGTGGAGGGAAAAACCGGAGGGCCCCGAGAAAAAAATCCACGTGACCACAGAGAGAGGCACGCAAACTCCAAATATACAGCAGGCGTCGAGGTCGGGATCGAACGCACGACCTCCTGTATACCAGGCGAGGGTGATAACATCCCGCCACCGTGATGATGATGAGAGAGAGAGACACGCAAACTCCAAATATACAGCAGGCGTCGAGGTCGAACGCACGACCTCCTGTATACCAGGCGAGGGTGATAACATCCCGCCACCGTGATGATGATGAGAGAGACACGCAAACTCCAAATATACAGCAGGCGTCGAGGTCGGGATCGAACGCACGACCTCCTGTATACCAGGCGAGGGTGATAACATCTCGCCACCATGATGATGATGAGAGAGAGACACGCAAACTCCAAATATACAGCAGGCGTCGAGGTCGGAATCGAACGCACCACCTCCTGTATACCAGGCGAGGGTGATAACATCTCACCACCGTGGCGCCCTGTGTTCTGACACAGCAATTGTGAACCCCCTGAGTCACCTCCACACACAAATACTGCACATTCTTACACGCACACACTTTCACAGAAACAGGTCTCACATTTAGCCTGGAGTCTGTTGGCTCTATTCAACCAAGATCCCCCATAGTATTTAACAGGCTGTCGGGGCCAAGTGCTGTTTGCGAGCACCTACGAAAGCCAGCACCACCCCTGACCGCCTTTGTCTCCCTCGTGGCGATGTTTTAACACGTCGCACTAGGTATTCGATTGGGGCCAAGTTCGACCGAGGGGAGGCCCAGGACCGATTCAGATAATCTTACCGTGTTGGCCGTGAGCGGGAATCGAACTCGGGTGGCCGGGTTCGAAGCGCAGCGTAGCGCTAACCCCGACGCTACCACTCCCCACATTCTCCAACACACACACAGACTTTCATATGTAAACGGGTCTTTTAGCCTGGAGAAACTATTGGCTCTATACACCAGTCTATCACGCACAATACAGCCGTCATTTACTGATAACGTCACGTGAGCATGTGCCAAGGCCTGTGCCGCA